CTAGATGCTGGCGCAGACTTGGACACGGAAACTCCGGCACCCAACCCGCCGCATTTTGCGGCTGTCAACGGCGAGAATCAGCACTGGACAGCCCTGACGTACGCGGCTGCCAAGGGCTACACGAGATGCGCCAGGATATTACTCGAAAGAGGTGCCAGTGTGGACGGCGGTGCGCTGTTGAGCGAGGAAAAATGCACGCTAACACCGCTGCAAGTGGCTTGCGGCAGCGGAAACACAGACATGGTTTCGTTACTGTGCGCTCACGGGGCAAACCCGTTTTTCTCGACGCAGATCAAAGACTCGCTGTGTTACTCAGCTTCCACGCAACGGGGCTGCTACAGCGCTATTTCAGTAGCTGCAGCGCACGGTCATAGAGGTATACTGCAAAAGTTACTAGCGCAACCTCTGGCGCCGGTCAGTAAGGAGATACTGTCGCTGGAAGAGATGCTAGCTGAGGGTTCATCTACAAGTCATTCGAACGCTTCAAACTCAACTCCGCAATTCTCCAAAACCCAAATTAAAGCCCTGCAGGAAGCCATGTATCACAGTGTCGAGAACAACCACTTGGACATCACCATAGAGATTCGAACACTGGGTGTTCCCTGGACACTACATTGCTGGATGCATTCGCTCGGGGCAGCACACGAGGCCAGGTTGGACTGCGTTATAGATCAACTGTTGCAGGACTTTCTGCAAGTCTGCCCTGATGACTATAGCTCTCAGTTCGTCCAGGAGTGTTTGCCCCTACTGTTCAACATCTTCAGATACAGCAAGGTAAGTGATACCTGGATTGGAGTCAATATAAACTTGAACAAGGACAAGTTTGGTGAACAAATATTAAAAATATTCCTCAACACCAAAACAAAACTGAGTTACACTTCGTTCTGAAGATGCAAACATCGTTGCAAGCAGTTTTGGTGTTGGGGAATATTTCTAATATTTGCATAACTTCCGTTGTGTTGTAGAAGGAAGGAACCACATTACTTCTAGCCGACATTTTTTCGACATGTTTCGGTTGGGAGCCAATCAAACCAATCAAAGATTGCACTTCAACGCCGATTGGTGGATCCAGGATAGATCCAAAGTACGTTAACAACCCAGAATTGAGTGACGTGACTTTTAGAGTCGAGGGGAGACTGTTTTACGCGCACAAAATAGTCTTGGTGACTGCTAGTTCCAGACTAAGGGCTATGCTGAGTTCAAAGCTGTGTGATGGAGGGTTGCCTACTGTGCAGATCAACGATATTAGATACCATATCTTTCAGGTAACAATTCAGCAATACATATAATGGTATACTTACTTTAGGCTTTTGTTTGCAGATTGTGATGCAGTTCTTGTACCAAGGTGGTTGCCAAGCTCTGGAACCGGCCCCAGAAGACATTCTAGAGCTCATGGCAGCTGCAAATTTCTTCCAACTGGACGGTTTGCTCAGGTACTGCGAAACTCGCTGTGCAGCTATGTTGGCACTCGATAATGTGGTGTCGATGTACATCCACGCTAAAGTCTACAATGCCATGCAACTTTTAGAGTACTGCCAAGGCTTTCTCCTGCAAAATATGGTGGCTCTACTCACTTACGACGATTCCGTAAAAAGGTTGCTTTTCGCTAAAAAGTTACCCAACCACGATGTTCTGGCGGGGTTATTAAATACGCTTCAAAATAGAATTAAGGCCAGGAGTAATCAGATTAGTTGTAAGTTGAGTTCTAAGAGTCCCAATAAGTTTGCGAATAATTAAATTTTTTGAATTATATTTTACAGTTTTGGAGTAAGAATAAGACTGTTGCTTTTTTCTCTTTTGCTACGAGTTATTTTTTGTGCTTTACCAACAATATTTATTGTTCTTTTTATATCAGTATTGGACTATTTATCGTTTATGTGTAAGGTTTTATATTGCTTAAGAAATATATATTTTAAGTTACAAGGTGTTTTATTTTATTAAATTATAGAGGACAATCTACCAGAAAAATCGCTAGTAGGTTGTTATCATCAGCTGTCAACCGCTTATGTTACAAACGAGTGTTTTTGAGAATAAAGCCGGAAAATGTTAAAAAAATATCGAAAAAAAACCGTGTGCTGTTGGGTGTATTTCGAGAGGAAATCCTGAGTTTTTACCGGTTTTCCAATAAACAGTGTTAATCTGAATGAAGAAATAAATTGCATACAGTCTCTGTAAATATAAATTGTACCTATAAGATACAATAAATACACATTTTAGAAGTGATTAACGTGAAAAGTGTAAACATTTCAATTTAGTAATAATCGTCAAACAAATAAGTCGTCTAAATTTAAACAGCATTTAGCATTATTAAAAGCGTTGATTAAGAAAGTCTCCAGTAAAATACCATTATATTAGGTATATATAATATTATGTTGCCATGAATTCGTAGGTATATTTTGTTGTTTAAAATGCAGTTGTCGGCGTTTTTTAAAGAACTCAAATATAAAAATGGTTGATTTTAAGGTTATGTTTGTGCAAAAATTATTTTTTACTAATTTCTTAAAAGTGTCCAAACTTAAATATAAATTATATTAGGTAAAGTTATCATTAGTTAATTCTGCACCAACAAATGTACTTACCGAATTGGATCCTTTGGCAGAACATGAAAATGCAACGATTTAGTTCTAGAATTTTATTCACAATTAAAAACGCAATAATTCACCATGATCCCTTAGATAAAATACACACACTAACGCAACTATATAAGCATTTAAGCGTTGAGTTTCTTAATCAATGATATAAGGAATAATCAATCGAAATCGGGTACTAAAAAAGTTTTTTAGTTTTTTCCTTGCAACGTAAAACACAAATAACGTGCGCGATTTAGCTGTGCAATTGAACAAAATTTGTCGAGTAAGACGTTTACCAAAAAACAGGACATCTTGAGGGATTAAAAAGAAACTAATTTTTATTTATTATCATTATTTAATCAAAGCAAGATATGTACAGATCCAAATAATTTTCCAATCTCTGTCTTTTCAGAACCATACTTTTAGTCATAATTCGATTTGCCACAGATGTGCCTTCGTGCGAATGAACATATGAACAATCTCTTATTTTCTAAAACACAAAAAGGTTCAGTTTTGAAAACTCAAATCTGGATAATGTACTTATGAAAAGGTTAAGAGGTTAGGTGACAATTTGTAATCTTACTTTAAACTCCTTAAGTTCTTTCAAAGTATGTATTTCTTGGGTCGTTTTTTCCTCCATCCAGCATAAGTGACATAAGAAGGTTGCAAAATTGTTGTGCCAATAATCTTTAGTGCAGATATCTTTACACTTATGGCAAACATCACTTGGCGTGGGCTGACAGTATGTTTGAACGCATGGTATCATTTTCGGGTGGCCAAAGTTCGAGAAAAATTTGATGCGTCTGCACTGAGATATTTTTTCGAGGTTGTAGGTACCTGGGCTGGAATTTAATTAGGTTAGAGGATTCTATATTGTTCTTCTGTGTTTTTACCCTGGATTGTTGTTTGTTTTAAGGTCATAGATCGATTTTGAGTTGAACGGGGCAGCTATTTGCCTTTTTTTCTTTGGTTTGGGCATCAGTTCGTATCTAGTTGGCGAAGGTGTTCTTTGAAATTTACTTTGGAATCTTTCCGAGTTGCTAGCGAAAAAACCTACACCTTTTGCACTGCGTATCTATAAAAATACAATTATTCTCCTCTGGTTTGAATAAAAGTTTGATTAAGATTTCTTTGAGCATATTGGAAAAATTTAAAAAAGATTTTGAAGAGAAACCGTGGTATGTACTTTATAATGTAATATCAAATGGACATTACTATTTTCCTTAACTGTACTATTTATTATTATTACTATTTTTCTTAACTGTACCTAACACGCGTTTTATTCTACTTTTGGAATTTTTTTAAGTCCTGACGTGGTGAAACAATAATAAATATTCAATTGTACAAGTCAAGTTAGTACATTTTGTAGAACTGTATGATGTACCTTATTTTCTAATTTTCCAATAAAAGTATCCTTCTCATTGTAGTAACTTCCTGGCTGAATTTTGGGGTTTAATTCAGGGGCATTTCGTTTTTGGTGAGGGGCCAATTTGTTTCCTATGGGATCAGTGGATCTTTCCTGGGATGTTCCAAAACAAACTTTTTTATCTTGTTGTAGTTCTACCAAATAGTTATCGTCTAGAATGATAAAATGAAAAAATAAAATCGTAATTGTTATTTGAAATTTGGCGTCAACATGTCAATTAACACTTACCCGTAAAAGTTTGAAATGGTTTGAACATTGTGCCAAGAGTCTTTACAAGTGAATGTCTCGAAAGTTAAGTTAGTTTCCGTTACGTGAGCAAGTTTTTATGACACCAGGGGCGTACCATTTATTTATAATTTTATGAATACAATTATAATTAAAAAAAAAACGAATTGCATATACCAAGAATTCCTATATGTATAGTCTAATAAAATAAAATTTCAAAATTGAAAAAAAATTAGCGGTTTTCAAATAATTTGAAAAAAACTGAAAACCTGTCAAAACAAAAAAATGTTAAACCTTCGTTATTCCTTAGTAAGTTTCACATTTAATTTCCTCTAATTAAAATATAAATACCCATAGAAGGATATAAAATATAATATTAACTCGCCATATTTCAAAAAATAAAAAATAAAGACAAAAATGTTTTGTACGCCGCTGGTGAGATTGCGTGCCGAAAAATCGGTTCACGGGACCAGGTTAAGGGATTCAAAATTGTCCCGATATTATTAATAAAATTTTACGTGTTTTGTCTTTTCTTGTTCGCCGAATTTTTATATTTTTAGATGACTTAACAATAAAACGAAATTGTCTTGAGACACGAAATAGCGTATGGTGCTGTGGCCGAAGTGTGCGCAGCCGTAAATGCGTACTATTGCCTCTAAATAACGTAAAATGTTTACCAGATTCATTTAGGAAATCTTCATTGAACTGCGCGTGGGACATAATCCGGACCAACATTTTGAACAGAAAAAAAACGTCAAAATGACAAATAAAAGAGACAGTAAAATAAAATATATTTATTATCATATAATAATAAAATTAAGTACAAAGCGATTTGTTAGTTTGTAAAAATTTAGCTTCTAAAATTATTCTATAACCATAATTTATCACAGAATAATAATCTATCAGGTCTTGTAAATTAACTCTTAAGAGTTAATTATTAACAATGTTTCAATATCTAATGGTATTTATTATTAAATACTGTCAATACAGTAAAATACTGTTACAACATTTTTTGATATCTACAAGCTATATATATATACATAATAGTTGAGTTTTTATACATAAAAAATTAACTAGGTAAATAGTTAATGAATTGTTCATAATAATTTGTCATAATATGTTGGTCTTATCATCTAACCAAAATAGGATATAGTGTTATTAAGTGTTATATTTTATAAACATACATATACCTTTACATGGGTATAACTAAGTGGGAATCTTCTTTTTTCTACTCAATATTACATACCAGACTCTGCAATTCCCTCATCATCTACAAAAAATTTAAATAAGTTACAGACAGGCACAAATTACTATATTTGAGGAGAAGGTGGTAATATAAAACCTGTCTTTAATTTGCATTTTTACTTACTTATTAAGCAGAATTAGTTTTTCATAGCATTGAAATTTTTTTCGTAGAAAAATTAAAAGGTTTTATACTAAAACCCCGCTCCTCCTACCTACTCAATAACATGCATAAAACGAAATATTGATTTCAATCAAAAAATGCATCAATAAGGAAAAAATTAAACATCAAGCAAACAATGGTAACTATGGCAGGCAAAAACAAAAGCATAACACTATTATACAAATGGGTCACATGCAAAAATATACAGGGAAACATAGAACAACCCTGAATTATTATTATTAGTTTGGAAAAACAAAGTAATATTAAGCAAGCTAAAAAATTTTTAATTTGATTCTTTGCGGTTTTTTTCAAAAAATTTAAAAAAAAAAGTTCATTTTGGTTAGTGGAATATAAAATAATGTTAAAACATAAAAATCAAATTGATGAATCCACATATTGTATGATCCAAGGTTTTATATGTTTTATAAACCAAACGGTAAATTATTTTAAGTCATAATATAACCTTAAGGCACATTATAAAAGACAAAAACTTTAGTAGTATAAAAAACCATAGAGAATCTTAAAGCATATAAAGCATGGAGTGCTATAAAGTCTAAGCTAACCTTTTCTTCTCAGATACGCCTAAATCAGGAACTAAACCAACTTTCCCTTCACCAGATTTTCCTGAACCACAGAAGAAGTTTTTACATCGAGATAGAAAGTGATCAACCATTTCTAAGGTCAATAAAAATGACCTCACTTTTAGTACAATTATATTTAAGAGTTTTATTATTGAATCACAAGAGTTATTAATTACATTGAGAGGAACTTCCACCTTACTTAAAAACTCAATAAAGCGAATAATACTGTTAAAACAAACATACACCGTGTGGAGTTAAAGTGTGGAACCGTCGATGTTATATACATCGAGAAAAACGTGTGTAACCGTCACGGTGAGTCTTTTTTTTCGTAACTTACCTTCGAAGCCTTGGTTTTCGTGTATTTCCCGGGGACTTCCGGTCAGTTCCGTGCCTTCCAGCACTGCCAAAAGGCACTGGTGAATGCAGATGTACTGTTGCTCCGTTTGCACCATCCAAACTCTTTCTTTACGCATCGCGTAAACTATACCGAAGATGTCGACGTAGTCTGACAAGTTTATTTGCTGCAGGATGCGATCTAAGCATATGAATGTACCCGATCTACCCACTCCCGCACTGCAAAAGAATGTTGAGTTAAGCATTTTATTAATCTTAAGAGTTAACCGTATTTACCTGCAATGTACTACTATAGGTCTTTGATCCGCACCTACACGCTCTCTGAAGGCTTTAACAAACCTTACTAAAGTATGTGGCGGGTTAGGCACGCCAAAATCTGGCCACGTAGTGAAATGAAAGTGTCTTATAACCCTTTGTTGCTCTCCCTATTAAAAAACCACCATAAATAACTCCCAAAACCATTAAACTCGCCACTTACCCTACAAACCATAAACTCGCTGACATTCCAATCGGGATACCTAGTTTCGTTCAAAATCTGAACGGATATGTCGCCATAGTAAACAGGCATAGTATCATAAGGCCAGTAGTGATCGCATTTTTCCCTGCCCTTTTCCACGCAACGAGTTAACATTATTATGGCGCGCGAATTCGATTCCCACACCATGCGCCACATATCGTCTCTGGTTGAATGAAGAGGTCCCTGAGTTACCAAGAACTCCCTCGGGGAGTTAAAACCCTACAAAGGATTAACTCTTCAAAAATATGTTCAACAAAGCTAGTTAACTCTTAATATTAAGAGTTAACCGTGGATAACTCCCAAAATTAAGAGTTAACAATGGATAACTCTTAATTTTAAGAGTTAACTTTTTGTCTGGAAACTTTTTCGCTTACCGGAACATAATTGGCGTTGATGTAGTCTGAGCCTTCCTCGTCGTCTACGGGTTGTAACTTGAATCTCGAATGATCGTATGGTAGGATATTGGTGAACCTATTTTTGGGCCTATTGCAAGGTAGGTCGGCGAAAGTGCACGGTTGGTCTTTTCCGACGTGTTTTAACTCTTCGAATTCTTCGCTGAATCTACAAAAAAAAGTTAAGTAACTCCTAAAAGACCAGGGAAAAGTTGTCAATACCTGAAGTCGGAATCAGCAGACATGATTCTATAGTGATTGGCAAAGTTTTCTATGTTTACAGGTCTATTTACAGGCTCGATAACTGAATCCGGCAGTGACATGTTATCGTTTGTTCTAGCTTCAGTAGCTTTTCTATTTGCCGTTCGTCGTTTTTTAATGGCGATTATGCTTATGAAAAGAATTGCGATAAGGACTACTGGGATTGTAACACCCAGTATAATAGGAGTATTGTCCTGATCTGTAAAAATAAGTTATTGTTAAAGTTTGTATAAGTGATTAGTATTGGTTGTGGTTCGACTTACTCTTCATTAACAATCCTTTTAAAGCATGTAATAAAGACTTACATTTTAATACAACTAATTTAACTTCTAACTTAAAAGTCTTGCACAATACTGACTGACTGTTTCAATTCCGAGATAACTTATACTACTTAAGATAGCAATTTATATTGTTAATTTTTTTTAAATATTGAACAAATTAGCAATTAAGATAAACACCAATTACTCACCAGTTTGTATGGGAAAACTGTAACTTGTATCTGTAAACTTATCGGGCGCCGTGAAAGCGCGTATTTTAACTCTATAGGTAGAGCCGGACTTTAACGGGCCGTTACAGTACCCGACTTGTCGGATATCGCAGGATTCCGAACCGATGGTAAAGTCTTCAACCGAGCTGTTTTGGAATGGGTAGTAAGGTTCCGTGACCTGGAATGGCGGCCATGTTGGATATGCCTGTACGTCACGCCATGAAGGCATTTCCAGGCCTGAAGCGTTTTTCGTGTCGTCTTCTGCTACGATTATCGCATAGGAAACAACCTGAAATGTTGGGAGTTAACAAAATGTTAACATTTAACAGAAACGTTAAGTTTTAACAAAAACGTTAAGAGTTAACAAAAATGTTTGGAGTTAACAAAAATGTTAAGAGTTAACAAAATGTTAAGAGTTAGCAAAAATGTTAAGAGTTAACAAAAATGTTAAGAGTGAACAAAAATGTTAAGATTTAACAAAAACGTTAAGAGTTAACAAAAATGTTAAGAGTTAACAAAAAGTTGAGAGTTAACAAAATGTTAAGAGTTAACAAAAATGTTGAGAGTTAACAAAAACGTTAAGAGTGGACAAAAATAATAAGATTTATCAAAAATGTTAGGTATTAAAAAAACGTTAAGAGTGAATGTTGAGAGTTAAAAAAATGTTAAGTTCACAAAAATGTTAAGATTTAACAAAAACATTAATAAACGTTAAAAATTAACAAAATTGTTAAGAGTTAACAAAAATTAACAAAATTGTTAAGAGTTAACAAAAACTAACAAAATTGTTAAGAGTTAAAAAAACGTTAAGAGTGAATGTTGAGAGTTAAAAAAATGTTAAGTTCACAAAAATGTTAAGATTTAACAAAAACATTAAGAAACGTTAAAAATTAACAAAATTGTTAAGAGTTAACAAAAATTAACAAAATTGTTAAGAGTTAACAAAAATTAACAAAATTGTTAAGAGTTAACAAAAACTAACAAAATTGTTAAGAGTTAACAAAAATGTTAAGATTTAACAAAAACGTTGAAGTTAACAAAAACGTTAAGAGTTAACAAAATGTTAAGATTTGACGAAATAGCTACGTACGGGCCCATAAATATCACTGAAGTAGTTTTTCCTGAACCTAATCTGTATGGTGGTACTGCTGATGGAAACCTCTGTTGGTACAACTCTGGTGCTGGGTTTGGGCGGCGCCAAAATCGGCATTCTTTGCTTCCAAACCGATTCCGGACCGGTGCCGATTTTGGTCTCGGCAACAATCCTGAAAACGTACGTTTTTCCGGGAGTTAACTGCCGTATAACGCCCTTAAAATCGTTGGGACCGAAGTCCCTGAACTGCGTTTGAAAGGAGTCCTCCAAGCCGTACTTGATGGTAAATTTTTTCACTATGCCGTTGTGTTCTGCGGTGGGTAGAGCCCACTCGAACACTATGTCGCTCGGTTGGATGTCGACGGGGTTGAAACGGTCGACTTTGCCGGGTACGCCTTCTTTGGTAGTGAAGGTGTCGGAGAACGGGACGGACGTTCTGAGAAAAGCGTTTTTGCCCGATCTGACGATAACCGTGAAGGTGTAGTTTCGGTGCGGTTTCAGGTCGGTTATGGTGATGGAGTTGTGGTACGTTATGTTTTGCAAATAAATGCCGTCGGAGGTTAGGTATTGCACTTCGAACGCGTTGTACTCCCCTTTAGGCGGAGCCCATGTGAGGGTTATTTCCGAGTCAGAAATGAAGGTGGAGTTAATACTAGTGATTGAGTCGGGATCTAAAACAAATTTTAACATGGACAAATAATTTAAAGAGTTACAGTTATCGTATTAAAAGTATTAATACTTTGCGACAAACTCGCTAGATATATATAATAATTAATATTCTGCAAGCAATTAAAGTTTTCGTTCGGGTCTCGAGCCTATATCAACTTGGCACTGATGAGTTCCACAGAACGAAACGCGTCTGTCGATGCTGGCAAGAGATCCGAACGAAATTAAACAAAAGCGGTGATAAGAGAAATGCTTGCAGAATATTAATTAATTTAAAGAGTGTTTGAAACTTACATAATCTATCCTGCCTTTGCAACGGTTGACTTGCAACGCCCTGCGATACAGTCCAAACAGTTATATTGTACAATCTCCCGGGTGTTAAACCGGTAAAAGTCACCAAGCGATTTGAATCGTTCGCGGCTTTTTCTTGGTCTGGGATGGAAGCCTCACTCAGCGAGAATCTATACAAATCAAACACGGAGGTTGTTTGAGGCGTCGGAGTGTACCTCAAAGATATCGAGTCGATTGATTGGTTGTTAACAACGACGACTTCCGATTGTATTAGAGGCACTAAAATGGAACATAAGCAACAAAACTTAAGTTAAAGTTGGCCAACTTACTGGTTCGGGTTCTCAACTTGGTTACATCGCTTTGCAGATCGTTTGAGACCGCTTTAATGTTGAAAGTGTACTCCACCCCTGGGATCAAGTCGCCCACCAGCAATCTCACAGGTCCAGTTTCGTTGTGTACCTGACTTACGTTGTTTTTGTTCAACTTGTTTGGTGTGCTGGATTCGTACCACAGAACCACGTAAGTCTCCACTCTACCCTCAGGTCTCGGCCACTCCAGCGTGACGTTGTTAGAGTCTACCAAAGGCGCTATGTTGGACACTGGGTTCGGCCTCACAGTGTGGTTGAGCTGTTGCGGTTCGTTGGACTCCAAACCGTAACTTACCGTGTTAACCTGGATGGTGTACCTCTCACCTGCCGTCATATCTAACACTTCGGCTTCCGTGTTATGCACCGGCGGCAGTTTCACCCAGTTGCTGTCCGAATCGCCTCTATAGCGAATCGCGTACTCGGATATTATGGAGTCTACCGGCGAAACCCACTGCACTATCACCGAGTTTGTGGTTATTTTCACCAAAGACATGTTCCGTGGAGGTCTGGGGACTAAAAGAAAACGTTAAATCGATATACTCAACTAAATGACCGTCACACTTACAAACAGGTTGGAAGTATTCATGTGGCTCGCTCCTCAACCCGTGCGACATGGCAAACACCTTTACCAGGTACCCAGCGCCTGGGTACAAATGCTTCAAAATCACCTTGGAATCGTAGCTCTCCTTCGTTCTACGATCATTAGTATCGTTCCTAATCCACTGGACTTCATACTTATCCTGCCTGGAGTTGACGTCCGATTTCCAGCTGATATTCAGCCCGTCTATGATGGGTTTCAAATCCTCTATAATAGGAGCGCTCGGTCGCGTCAAAACGTTCAAGTAACTCTCCACAGATTGCATGTCTCGCGATACAGCTTGCACGGAAACAGTGTAGTTTCTTCCAGGCAGCAACGTTTCCAGTTCTATTTTCGTGGTTGTGGTGTTGATGGTGTTACTATCACCACTAGCAGTCTCAACCTCGTGGTATGACACGAGATAGCTGTCCTGCGTACTCTCCGGATTCGGCTCCCATGAGATATACTTGACTCCACTATTAGCGTCGTCTAATATGTGTAAATTCATGACAGGAAGAGGTTCTGCAAGAAAAATCGTTAAGGTTTTTTAAGATGTTATTTTAGACTTTATTATATTACTTAGAGTCACTTCTGCACTGACAGGCCATGATGTTACTTTCCCAGACAAGGTTTTGATAGCCACAGAGTAAGTTTTACCAGGTTCCAAACCCTCTTTGAATTCCCAGGATGTAGGATCCTCCTTAGGACGTGTTATTGACAACTTTCTCGCTGTGGCAAGTGATACTTGGTATTTATCAAACTCACTACAAAAAATACATTATTATAACCCCAAATCTTACATAAATATTACCTTCTGCCACTAGGTCTCTCCCAAACAACAACAAACGAGTTGGACGTAATTCTATCCTTATCAAAAGTAACTTTTAGAGGTTTCAAAGGCACAGTTCTATACTGTGCAGTTGTAGGTGTTGATATCTCATCCTCCGACATCGTTTGTACAGATATATTGTAAGCTCTACCAGGTACAAGACCCTTGAAAGCGGCCTGAGCAGGGCCAGGAGGTTCACCCTCCTTCTCAACGTATAGAATGGAATCATTCGCATCTGCAGGATCTATGGAAACTTTGTAATGCGTGTAAATGGCGGCCGGATAAGGAGGTTGCCACAATACCAGCAGCGTTGTTTCGTTTCTGAACCACACTATGAACTTTCCTGGCGTGTTGGGTTCTAAAAGTATTTATTAGTATATTGTGTGGTATATATTTAAGGATGTGTACTTGTAGTGAAGTTCCTAGACGTATAGGCAGCGCTTTCTTTGTTCTCAAACACAGAAAAAGCTTGCACTTGATACGTGGCTCCAGGGATAAGATCCTTGAGGATGTATGATGATGTTTCCACGTTTTCTATGGCCAAGGTCTGCGGTTTGGAGTCTATGAGGTTTATGAGCGGGTTTATCTTTAACTTGAAGCTTGTGAAGCTGCCTTGACTTGGCGGACTCCATGATATCACAGCTGTTTTACCGCTGCGCACTGATATGGATAGATTTGAGGGTGGATCTGGTACTAAAATACAAAACAATGTATTTCTAGTTGACTTGAAGTTACAGCTTAATACCTGTTGTGAAGTTAGCAGTCCAAGTTAGCGTATTATGTGTGGCGTTGGAGTAATACAACCAGAAGTCGTATTTTGTTCCAGGTAAGGCCTGGGAGAATTTTATGACGTCCCTAATGTCCTTCGAAGCTATAGTTGTATTGGGGGCGGGGTAACCAAACGGAGGGTAATAATCTAGTCTATATATTACCCCATCTTGCCCCAGATTACCAGGTATGTGTATAACTAATTCAGCTGCTTGAGTGGTCTGCGAATAATAATAATAAATAATTAATATCGTTCAATGTGGTAATAAATTCATGGAAGTGTTTTTTATTACCACTGTTTTAATTTAATTAATTTGTTGTGCACAACAGGCCATTAATTTTATTATATGGTTGAATTAAATTTAATAAAGTGTTAAAACATTCTGTAAAATATATTTTGTATTATATATTCAATATGCATTCCAGAATTTATAAAATTTCCAATATTTACAGTTTTTTTAAGTTTACAAACTTTTGTAAAGTTTTTTAATAAAATATCTTTAATCATTTTATTGTTTTTATTACTTTCTTATAAGACAGTTCTATCCAGCTTAAGTTGACATTTTTATCAACTAGACATAATAATATGATGTCAATATTATATCAATATTATGTCTAGCCTAGGTTTACATTCTTGAGACATTTTTAACAGTTACCCAAAACCTTTGACATTTTTTTATGTTATAATAAACCAAAGTTAACTTTTTCTTTCTTTAACCCCATTGTAAATTTGTTTTGTATTTTTTGTCTGGCTGAATTTCTTGGCAACTTAAACTGGAAAAGCCAGACAACTTTTAATCAATATTAATAAAAAAAATTCAAAAAACCATAGTAAGGATTTCGAATACATTAAATATTTACCAATAACAAAATGACGTCATCGGGGTCATACAACTTAACTAATATTAAATTTATTTTACAATGAAAGGCATTTAGAGAATTACAAGCCAACCAAAATGACTTGAAAGTTAAAAATGTGCAAGAATATCACATGACTAATATTTTTTTAAACAATGCTATCGAAAAGTTAATTCCAGATTATTTATGGGTTTCTTTTATAAGTTTATAAATTTTGATACGTGGATACCGGATTACTATATATAAATAGGTATTGTTTTTTGTTTTTTTATCGACTTTTTTTTAATTATAATAGTTTATTTATTACTTTTCTTATCAGTCTATGATTTATTTTAAGATTAAATACACTTTCTTAAAACAACTTTGCCATAACGGTATAAAAAATGTGGAAAAGGTGAAATTGTTTTATTTTTTATATACGTTGAATGCAAACATGAGTATAACGTATTTTCATTTTTTGTGTATGTACCTACAAGTCACATTTTAGCCTGAAAGCTATTTTTAAACAGGAGTGAACCACCAAGACCAAATAAACCCATAACATTAAATATATGGGAACCGGATATGGATAAAAGCAAAAAATCGGAAATGCACATATGCAATTTCAAAACAAAATGTGCGTCATTGCCATATTTCCGGGCAAAACACATGGCCGAGTGATAACGTCAGAAGATATCGGATTTCTTGAAATAGACTCCTGCGTATTGAGAGGGGCCATTAATAATAGTCGACGTTTTTTCCAAGGGTGTGGGCTGCAAATGTTAATTTCTTCTCTGTGAGAAACATTTGTCGGTATATTGTGAACTTTTACTTCAGTTTTTTTGTTATTAATCGTTATAATTAGAAACTTATTGTACCTAGGGGAAAATTGCTTTCACAATCTTAAATAATTTACTATATTAATAATGTATCTAACTAGGTATATTGTTAAAAATACTAAGGCCTTAAGGAAACAGAACATCTAAAAATATCTATGCATAAAACAACTTTATTACAATAGGTATATTCACTATTTTGGGGATACTAAAACCAAGCAAGAAACATTAAAGATGACACATGTGTAACAACATTCTAAAACTAAAAATAAACATAAAAGAAAACACTCGAGATACCCTATAAATTTTATTGCTATAACTTAGTATACAGGGTGTTTCGAATTTTTCTTTAAGTTTTAATACAAATATATTACAAATCATTAGTAGTCATTAATAAAATTGAGGTTAAAATTTATTTTTTTAAGGAGGCATTGAAAAAATTTAAAAAGGATTTTCGATGTCATATTTTTGTAACTTTGTAAACCTTTGTTAAAACACTCATTTTTACTAACCCCGTATTTTTACATAAAATAAATGTAGTGGTAAAGTTATTTTTACATCGTAATGAAGAATACATTTAGTTATAATTAGGTTAAGAGAAGCCTTTAAACATTAAAATACTTACTAATAGCAATGAACAAGGTCTTTTTTGTGATTTAATTCATACAGGGTGTACCGAAAAGTATTTTTATGTACAGTAGTAAAATGTGTGAACAATGTTTATTAAATCTTGACCTATCTGTGGCCATTTTTTTAATTTTGCGGTATTATTGAACAGAAATACATAAATCTCGACCTTTGATCAGTTGAATTAATTTGATAAAATATGTAATCAAGTTTGCAAAGTAATGATTACATGTTCATTTATTTTTGTACTCAAGTTTATGAATGAAAAACTTTGTAAAATTATTAAATTAAACCATACTTACATAGGTACATAAGTACAGGTAAATAATAAGTGAATTGTGCAGTATAGTATAGGTAGCAATTATATTTTGAAGGTGAAAACCATTTGCCTTATACAAACTACTAAAACTATTTTCCCACTAATTACACTTAACTTATGACTCGCGATAATTTGTTTGAAATAATAAAAAATATGTAATTTATTAATTTGCATTAAATTTTACAATAGCTTTGTTTTTTAGTGACCTTTGTTTTTTAAAAACCTAACGATTAAAGATTTTGTCTAATAGGTAAACATTTTCATCAAGTTTGTGGTGAACTTAATATGCGTTGGGCAGTGTAATTTGCTGACATTTATTAATTTTCATATTGTTGTATCGAGATTTTACCTAATATGAATAAGATTTCAAGGTTTTAAAAATAATAGAGATACCTATGTTATTAAGAAACCCGTTCGCACACATTTTATTAAATATCCAGTTTAATATTTAAAACAACAATATTAGCTGCCACATTTTAACGTAAAACTAAAATAGCAACAATGGGGTTTGCAGTAACGGCATTTTTAGGGAGTGTCTACAATAATACCATTTACACCAGGGGCCACCATTATGCCTGCTAAATTGTTTTTATTCTTTACTATAGTACCTATACGTAAACCAAATATAACTCTATATATCTTTTAAGAGCAGTGTTGCAGTTCTCACACAGTGTTGCCAGATCATAAATTATTCGTCAAAATTTGTTGTTTCTGAGCGCTAAAAAATAACAATATTATATAAATTACTTACACATGAAATTTTACAACTTTTTACCTTAGATTGTAAAAACAGGTAGTTTAGATAGAAACAATCAAAAATGGATTATAAGGTTATCACGAATTTACCAGTATTAATAGTACAAATTTGTCCCGTAAAACCTATTTAAACTTGGCAACCCTGCCCTTAAGCCATCTTGCACGCCAATGTTAAATTTTACAGTTTTTTAGAAACAAAATATTTGACTTAAAAGTAACGTAAAAAAATCATTCAAATTCCTTACAAGTACTGTAGAAATCTAACTCTATAAACGCCAGTTAACTGTTTGCATCTTAATGAGTGATAATACCTAAATAATTTCCTGTACAAAAACATTTTATTTTTTACACCTATCCATATTATAATAGGTTCATTATTCCCGTTGCTAGGCCCCTGCCAATTAATAAATACACAAAGAAATACAATTTAATTATCAATTTTTTATTTTATATGAGATGTTATATAAGACTAATGTTAAGACAAAATGGTCAGCGGGTATAATATTAGAAAAAAAATACTTGTTAGACATAAATGCATAGGTAGGTAACAAATATGGCTATTTTATCTTGTTAATTAAGTAAAGAAATATTAAAACACTCGGTATCTCAAAAAGGGGCAATATGTTTTTAGGACACTGAATATTTATACATATTGCAAAAAACAATGTAGGTAGGTACCCTAATATTTATATTATTGTTACAAAAAAATCGTAATTTAGGTAAAATTAATTTTAATTAAAATATTATGTAATTTCCTACCTAATAATACAACTAATTTTAAACAAAACAATTTATTCATTTGCAATTTACCGTAAATAGTGCAAAAAATAGTTTATCTAAGCAATTAAAAGACCTACGCAATACACGAATATGTTAATAAGTATTTCATACACATTAAAAAAATGTAATAGGTACAGTTAAACCATTTAAATTAGAAAATGACATTGTTTAACGAAGATATTGTTTAAATTAACCTAAAAACGTGATTTTGTTCTCACAATAACTTTGTTAATAATAGAATAATTAATTAAGATTATATACAATAATAGATACAAATTCACATGGAAATAATCACTTACCTACATTATTTTTATTGCAAAAAACAACAGTTTAACATGTCATTAAAATAAATTTAAAAAATAACATTCCCGGAATTGTTTAGGCATACAATAATTTGGAATAATTATCATTTTTATGATAATTTAATTTGTTTATTAACATATTATTAATTATTGCAATGGGTTAACCACAGTTTCATTTGGTTTCAAGAAATATTACATAAAATTAATAAAAAACAAATTAATTATGCAATTTAAAACGATTAATAATGAATTTTCTATATTTTTATTACGTTAATACCACTTTTTGAAATAAAAAGATTAAAAAAATCTATTACTTAGCCCATTTTATAAGTAACTTTTGCAAACTTTTTTCAAGCAGGTAAAATACTACAAGCTGCTCAGGATTTTTATAAAAATCTCAAAACTGTTTCTTAAATAAATAAATTCACCCCACCTTTTAAAAACTTAATTATTTTTTGAACAAAGAACACTAATGCTCTTAACAAATTTATTTTTGTGCATTCGTGACCAATTTTTCGACCGTTTAATACAATTAACAAGGCCATAACGATTGTTCCCAATTCTAAATTGTGACTTAAAGCATTTTGTTGCAAAAGTTGCTTTGTTTCTTAACAGACAATTTGGTTAGTATAGAGTGGTTACAAAGAAATAGATCAAGTAACTACCTAGATGATTTTTTGATTATAAAAACTGTTATTTATACGCCTTTATATGCATTGACTGTATTTTAAGTTTGTTGAACCTAAATAGTAAAATAGACTTTAAGTAAGTAGGTATACTTTTAAATCATTACATTGGGTTATTTTTATTTTTTTTTAGTAGGTAGGTATATGATGTATTATTTTTCTTCAATCTGTGGTTACTCCATTAAAAAAGGTTTGTACAGTAAATCACTGTTAAACTAGTTTAATTTAAATTAGATTATGAATAACTGCTACAAAGCAATTTGCTGTAATGAGATTGCTTCCAAAACATTTCACAGTTTTGACCTATTGTATCCCCCATTAAATTTTTATTAGGAAACAGACAGTCCCCTATACAAATAATTAGTTTCAATTTTAATGTTTTTTTCATTATCATTTTAAACTAATATGCTCCACATAAAAAATCCCACCTGACATTTGAATAAAGAATGCAGTCAAATAATTAAGGTTATGTATCTGCCAGTTCAACAATTATTTTGTTTTGTTTTCCAAACATAATACAAAAACTGTATTTCTTGTGTTAAAAGTTGACCTTTCCCATTATTTTTTATATTTTTTAAAGATTTTTATTTTGGTATAATCTGTGTGAAATTAACAAATTAATTGCTTAAAATAATTATTGTTATTAATTACCTACCTTAAAATGTACGGAATACATTTCCATTGTTTAAATTATATTTTGTCAAATGTAATTTGTATTGTACATCTTTATTTTACCTATCTTTTAATCTTCCCATAAAGTTAAGAAATTTTTCAACCGTACATCCGGTTTCTGTATTATAACAAAAAACCTTTTGCTGCAAGTGGCAAATAAAAACAATGTAATTATGTCCATAGCTATTAGCCATAGCTGTGGATTATTCCATCTTATTGCATTCACAGTGTTGCCGAGTTTTATAAACTTTTTAACTCAAACCGCGCAATTTTCGGCCCACCCTGTATACATATACTAATAGTTTAATGTTTTTATGTTGGTATGCACTATTTTATTTAAGGCAATTGTTACCTAGATACCTACTTCGTTAAACAAAAATAAGTATTTCACGCATGTTCTGATTTCTTTTTTAATTGCCTGATTAAAAATGCAAATAAACAATTCTTATTTTGTTGGTTACATAAAACTACAAAAGAATGCGGGATATAGAAAGTAACGCGTTAGGTATTAACAATAAATAAATAATCTGCTTATGTTTAAAAATATAGATTGTAATCATACATAAAAATAACCCTGATATATATAAATAAGCGTTTTGGGCCATGTGTTCAATAAAAATAGCACGTGTATTAATAATATAATATAAGATCAACATACCTGGGTAAAGTAAAGGAGAATCGATGCAGACAAAAAACAAAAACACAGCCTCCCCATATTAACAATTAATTTGGCACTATAAAACCTTAACAACAAACATATTCCGTGGAAAAACAATCACAACACTACCCAACAAAAATCGGAACACATATTCTTTACAACCTCACTACTTTTAACACTAATCTTTAGCAGTGTCTTCGCTCCTCAACGCCATTTTCGACTCTGACAGATACACGAAGAGTTTTTAACACGTTTGCTGGTAGCGCTGGCAGAGGGCGCTAGTGCGGTAGTATTCCACAGGTGTCAGGTGTGGGTGAAAGTCTTCGAGATAGGCACCCCGCCGTGCTTTGCATTCTCAAGGTCACTGCTGGATGCGCGATGTAGGTAGGCAACCCAGGTCGCGGTTTTGTGTAGTTGAAGGTTTGGTTGCAGTGTTTTTGTCTGGGTTTTATAATATTTATAATCTATTGTTCCCTGAACTTATAGAAAAACATGTTTTGATCAAATATGTATATTTATTTAGACTTAAAAATTTATCTTACAACAATAACAAAATTATTTATATTATATATACCTACAGTACTACCAAATAAGACAAAATTTTAGAAAAATTAATCATCAAAAAACAATAAATCTAGTAGTTTATTAGTTAACTGAATTAGCAAAATAATAGAGTATTTTAGAGGTAATGGCTTAAATAAGCATTAAGAAAAGTAGGTATGCATAATTTTACCTTAAAATATTCAGCTTAGAAATTAAATTATTAATTTAATTCAAAGAATATTACTGGCAACAATCTGTAGTATCAAAAGCGGATATCCTTTTCCAACCGAACAAAAAATAGCCCACACCTGACCCGACCACAACTGCTAGAATGAGCCAAACGTTATATGTCATAACTATTAACATAAGACAATAGGAGATCCACATTTGTATCATTTGAAAAATTGTTTGAATAAAGTGGTGACCATTCCACATCGATCTAAAAAGGTTGTTTTCAAATAAAATGGTTATTTTTTGTTTTAGGGGTTGGTAGTACTTACAAAGATGTTCTGGGTTGCTTTTGGTACAAATGCTCTCTAAAAATGATAAAATATTGTTAATAACAACTTGTTACAACATAAATTACGTTACCTCAAATATTTACAACCTTCATAGGCCACTGCGACTAGAAAAATAGCAAACATAGAACCAATCAGACCACCAGTTGTAGTACATTTCCAATTTTTAAAAAGGATTAAATCCCCATTGGTAAAATGAAACTAAAATAAAAACCATAATGTATTAATTTACATATTTTTTGGTAGAATTTTTTTATTACTTACATACATCTTCATCATTTTGATTTAGTTTTATTGAACCTATAAACAGTAAAATGTAAACAATATTTTTATTATTATTTTAACATTCTGTTACTTAAGGACACCAATTTTATATATCGCGTAAGCAACAAAATAATAATATTCTTGACAATTTTAACTAACTAGATTAGCAATTACTTACCACTTTAAAACCGAAAAACTAACACAAATACCTAATTTATTTTATTTGTTGTTATACTTAAGATTAGTTACTTAAATAATTGTATTTTCTTGTGCTAATTTAATAATAAATTACTTATACAGGTTGCATTGTTTATTTATATAAATTTGTGCTTGCACCCCTCCATAAATTGATAGTGATTTGATAATTAACTAATTAACGTTTTGATTGGTTTTTCAAGATTTTAAGGTGGGTCATGATTTTGGTTCCTATAAAGGATAGGTATTACAAATATTATTTCAAACGTTTATTAGGTACTTTTTTAAGCTTCCACATCTTAAAAATTATTTTTTATATATTACACAGCATTTTATTTTATTAACAGATAAAATATTTATTTTCGTACCTTTAATTAAATTAGGTGTACAGCTGTATTTTGCAAACTCTTGATATTCCAGTAAACTAATTTAGTTGGTAATTATCTTGATATTATCATTACCTACATTGTTTTAAATTTAATTATCAATAACAAATTTAGAGAATTTATCTTTTATAAATATAGGTATTTCAAAAGATATTAAATGAAATTCTAAAAATATTAACACCCTGTATCTTAAAGAGGAAACAATTTTGATAAACATGTGAAATAAACTGGACCAGGAATAAGGGGAATAAGGAAATTTAATAAACAGTATTAATAATAGGTACTGTTTATTACATTTTATCTTAATATCTAATTGTCTAATACCAACAAAGAAAAAAAATAATTCTTAGATACAAAGATCAAGTCACTTATGACGATCGTCTCTAGATAACCCCAATAATAAAAAATGCTACGAATAAGTGGTTGTATCATATGTATACAGGGTGCACTCAAATGTAGGTACATGTACTGATAATGAAACTAATTTTGTAAAATTATTTAACTTTTAACTTTTTTTACTGTTAATAAAATTCTCATTTACTATAATGAAGCAGCAATGTTGAGCTTTAATATCCAACAAATATTTACGTTGGTATATTCTGTACAGCGTAAAAATAGAAGATGTTTAAATGGTAGTAAAGTAGACATATCGCAGATCTAATCTAAAACTGATAAAAATATTTCACTTGTCCCAAAGAATAAATTCTATAGGCGTGTGCAAAAACCGTGTGCACAAAATTTTTTTTATAAATACTTTTGAATTTCGAATTTATCAGTCCTTGTGAACATAGTCTACTGAATGTTACTAGTTTTTTTGTATTAGTGATAAGAAAATATGGTTTTATTAAATGTTTTATAGATGATAATTAAATAAATGTGGGGCTACTTTGTTTATAAAAAACTCCTTAATAAGAAGATTTTGGTTGAATCGAACACCTTGTATATTAATGTTTATTAAGGCTGAATAAAATGTCTAAAAAGATTTTTCTATTTTGTCTTTTTTTTACCTAATTAAAAACAATTACTATAGAAAATATTGCCTACAAGCAAATATTAAATATTAACTAAATACTTAATAAACTATTTATTAATAATATATTAATGACCATTAAGGATAATGTAAATAAGGAAAGCTCTATTTTATGTAGTCCACATAAAACACTAGTTTCTCAATATTAACTTTGTTACTAATTTCACCATGGACTTTAATACAGTGAAACCTGGAAAAGGTATAAAATTAATATTTTTTACATTATTTTCCTATTTTTACAACATTTTTAGGATGCCCCCTCAATACACTTCTTTATTTAAGTCTTTATTTGATTAAACCATGGATTTGTCAAATATTGATGTATATGGTTTTTGGCTTTCACTTAGTGATAACATTGTCGATGTTTCATCAATTTATTAAAGCTTTTTCCATTAAATTTATTGTTCCATATGCCACCACTGCCGGCCTTATCTATGTGAGATTTTTATTTAGATTAATATAAATACTAGCTGATATTGTATATTTTTTAGTGCGAAATTTGTATAATATTTGGCCTAATAAATGTTGACAAAATTGCAAAGCTTTGCGAAGATACCATACAAAAATGTAGATCGTTTGAATACATGGACGAAAAATATCAAAAACAAGTAAAAGTCATCGGAAAAATCATTTCCGTGGTAGCAATAATAATAGCGATATTAACACAATTACATTTCTACTTATACCTGCCATTCAAACCTGACACAAAAAAAATCTACTACGCTTTTTGGTTCTTTGAACACTATTTTTGGGCCTTTAAAAGTATTTTTTTATTTTTTTATTTTTTATCGATATCTCCTTCATTTTATGCTGGTTTGGCGCAACTTTTGCCTGTGATTTACGTTGTCTTGCAATGCTATTTCCAAATTAAAAATTTGCAGAATTTTATCGAAAACATTTCGAGCGATTTTGATTGCAACGACTTAGAGCTCTACGATGATAAAAACTACCAGAAAGAAATCAAGAAACGTTTGATTTTCTGTGTTAAATACCATCAAGATATTAAAACGTGCAATATGTGAAAAATGTTGTAAAACTATTAATTTTCAGTATTTTAGCATTTTAGGTGATCTTCAGGACATACTGTATTACCCAATTTTGGTCCAATCAATAGCGGCTGTATGCTTTTTAGTCGCTGTTATGTTTTACCTTTTTACTGTACTTACAACATAAGTTATGTATATGTAAATATATTTTTTAAGTCATTTTTAGCAACAAAATATATCCAATGAATACCTGAGGACTGCCTCCTTAATTGTAATGGTCTTAATAGCAATCACTTCCCTGTCAATAGTGGGTCAAAAAATAAAAGAAGCCGTAAGTAATTTAATTAAAAAAAAAGGTTTTTCCATTAATATCTATTTTTTTAGACCGAATCTGTTTTTGATTCTCTATTAACCTGTCCATGGTATTTATGGAACACTGGCAACAAGCAAATTTTGAATATTTTTTTGAGCAATTGCGTTGAGCCTTCTACTCTATCAATGTCTAATATTGTTTTGGATTATTCATTTACAGTAACGGTAAAAAAACAGATTACAAACTAAACTAAATTCTTATTTTATTTTTGACGTTTTAGATGATGACTCGTTTATATTCTATGTTCACAACAATCAAAAGTTTGGTTGCTCTGAAGCAAATAAAGTTAAAGGAGTAGTAGATAAAGTAATCTTAACATACTTTTTTTTAAATAATTTATAATAATAATGATAATGATAATAATAATAATAAAATTACCATATTCCAATAATTAAAAAAATATATATAGGACAAATAAGTCAAAAGAAAGAAAATTATATTTTCTATTAAAATATTAAAATATATATATAGGGTGTTCTATTAAAAAAACAACATTTTTATCTAATCTCCAACTTTGACGAGGTCTATAAAACACCCTGTATAACATTTTGACAAAAATATATAATCTATAGACTACTAATTATTTTAAAAAGTGTGTGGAATCCAAAAATTCAAAAAAATACAGGGTGTTCCATTGAAAATAACAAACACTCTGTATAAATGCAAATATAGTATTTAATTTTTTTATTTAGATCATAAAATTTGTACCCTTACAAATTTTTTCTAACTCCAGTAGTTTCTGAAATAAGTATATATTTTTATTGCATTTTTTTTTAATTAGTTATTTTTTCAAATACATTTGCTGTTTTCTTAAAGTATAGAATGTTACCATTATAGGATATATATATATATATATTATTAAGTATTTATAAAAATTAGTATTAACCTTATTAATATATTCGATCAATTTTAATAAAATAAATATCTTTATTTTAAGCTTAACATGTATACATGTAAGCTTAACATGTATATATATTTTAAATTAAATAAATTTTTTTATTATTTCTGAAAATTTTACTTTCTATAATTTGCCCCCCACCTCGAAACACCCATCTTGTTCCTATTGCAGATTTATTTTAAGAAATACCACACGAACTGCTAATTTGAGTATTTCTGAGAGATGCATTAATAATGAGTCATTATTGCCATTCAAAATTGTTTTAAAAATGTTTGAGGATCCTGTGGTTATGTAAAATCCAAATATGTAGAATAAATATCATAATTCTGAAGGTACTGAGGTTTATGTATCTCTCTAACAGTTCTTGTTTCAACATATTTGCACATTTGATTTTGCTTTTTGTGCTGATTTTTCATAATTTTTTACAATATATGCAATTTAATAAAAAAGTTATAAATTATTTATATACTCTGTATATTATAAATATAATTTAATTATAAGCTCAGTATCCCAGCGCATTCGCCATTTTAGAGAAATATTTTTTTACTTCATTATTTTTTTGCGCATTTAAATTGTTAATTTTGAATATTCTGAAATATTCTGCATACATAAAATATTTATAAAAAAATCTACTTACTGAGATATTACACTTCACGGTGGATAGGTTTTAAATAGCAAATTAATGAACTTAAACTTTTGAATCATAAAACAGCAACACTCTCATCTGCATATAAATTCTAACTGACCTTCAGAAATCACATGCATCTATAATGTCGTAAACAGAGGTTTTTGCTTATTTAAAATGATTAAAGCGTTATCCGTTGCATAAAATTTAAAGCAAAAACAGATTCACGGAGGATAGAATCAATTTTTGTAACACCTACATAAATGGTTATAAAAATTATTTCTTTTAATTTTTGATAATATTTTATATCTGATTCGATTGCTTTGGATGTGTTTAATTTACTTAGTGAACTGATATTTTCAGTATGCTTTTACTACCTCAGATATATGAGAACATATAGGTTAACCTAGAAAGAGTAACAGTCACGGAGGATAGGTTTTAGACTTTTAAAACATTGTAAAAATTAATTAATTGCGGTTAAAAATCTGGAACCTGATCTGTAATATCTATAAAAGTTTAGTTTTATTAAATATCACGGGGTAACACCATAGGGGGACATTTCGTGAGATTCACCCATTAAATAATCAATATTAAATATAATTAAATAATATTCTTTTAATATTTATTAGTAATAGGTACTTATATTAATTAATAAATAACTAACTAGTAATGATAATGTCGAAAAGAGAACCTCCATTAATATTACAATATAAATTAATTTGTACATGTTAATATCCTAAAATGAATTTTTATACAATAAAACAGGGAACAGGTTTAAAATTCAATATTTTTTTTTGTAATTTTAACATTATTTTTTAGGATGTCCCCTAAATACACTTTTGTATTTAAGTGTTTATCTGTGTAAACCCAAAATTCTACAATTGGGGATATTTTTGTCTTTTTTGCTTCACTTTTCGGTAACATTGTCAATGTTTCATCAATTTTTGAAGGTATTTTCTATTAAATTTATCGTTCCATATTCTACTACAGCTGGACTTATATATGTAAGAATTTTTATTCACTACGAAACGTTTATTTACCATACTTTTGTACAATGTAATACAACCATTTTTAGTGTAATATCTGTATAATAACTGGGCTATTACAAGTGGACAAGATGTCCAAGCTGTGCGATGAAACTTTAAAAGCTTGTAGATCCTTTGAAGAGATGGACGAAAAATCTCAAAAACACATTAAGTTCGTTGGAAAGTTGACGTCTATTTTATTTGTAGGAGTTGCGATATTAACGCAAATACATTATTACTTGTTCTTGCCGATGCACGAAGACACCAAAAAAATTTACTTCGCCTACTGGTTCGTGGAAGAATATTTGTGGCCTTTCAAACGAATTTTCTTGTTTTTCTATTTTTTGTCGATTTCGCCGACTTTCTACGCTGGATTAGCGGAACTTCTGCCGGTGATTTACGTGGTGATGCAATGCTACTTCCAAACCAGAAATTTGCAGAATTTTATCGAAAATATTTCCAGCGATTTTGATTGCAATGATTTGAAGCTCTACAATGATGAAAACTACCAGAAAGAAATCGGGAAACGTTTGATTTTCTGTGTTAAATACCACCAAGATATAAAAAAGTATGGACCTATTAAAAAAAGTCGAAAAAAACTAATTTTTATTATTTTAGAATTTTAAGGGATCTTTACGATATAATGTATTACCCAATTTTGATCCAATCTGTGGCAGCTGTATTTTTTCTAGTTTGCATTATGTTTTATCTATTAACAGTATGTACAAAACTACCTATAATTTTAACTAAATTTTTAGTAAAATAATTTACCATTTTAGCAAAAAAATATATCCAATGAATATCCAAGGACGGCTATTTTATGTATAATGGTTTTAATATTGGTTTTGTCTCTATCTATAGTTGGACAAAATATTCAAGATGCAGTAAGTATCTAATCATATATAACCATTTATGTAGATGTTTCAAAAATTGATTCTATCCTCCGTGAATCTGTTTTTGCTTTAAATTTTATGCAACGGATGGCGCTTTAATCATTTTAAATAAGCTAAAACCTCTGTTTACGACATTATAGATGCATGCGATTCCTGAAGGTCAGTTAGAATTTATATGCAGATGAGAGTGTTGCTGTTTTATAATTCAAAGGTTTAAGTTCATTAATATTTCAGTTGTATTTTTTAAAAATATTAAGGTGTCAAAAGATACAATAACTTATTTCAAATATACAAAGGGATGTTAAAAAAACATACGATATCCCAACCTCCGTGAAGCTATCTTCCGTGAAGCTCTAATATTCAAAATGTATGATTTCTTAAAATTCTTAAGCATAATATTATTGTTTCGTGCCTAAAGGATAATAATAAATTTTATTTAAATATATTTTTTTTAGACCGAGTCACTTTTTGATTCTCTATTAGAATCCCCATGGTATTTATGGAATACTAGCAATAAAAGGACACTGCACATATTTTTGCTGAATACCATTGAACCTTTTACTTTATCAATGTCTGATATTGTTTTGGATTATTCCTTTACAGTCACGGTAAGCAATATTTTACAAACATAAATAAAAATTTTAAAATGTTATTTTTAATTCAATTTAATTTTTTAGATGGTGACTCGTTTATATTCTTTGTATACTACCATTAATACTTTGGTTTCCTTAAAAGAGATAAATTAGACGTAATTTTTTCTTGTTTTTAGTTTTTTTTATCTATGTTAATTTAGAGTTTTATAATTATAATACAAAATTAAAAATTAAGTGTGCAACTTTTTGGAACTCAGTGTATAAGGGAAATATATTAATAAAAATATTAGTAGGTATTGTTATATTTGTTTAATATAATTATCAATAAAGAACTATAATTATAATATTATAAAAAAGTAAAATTGTATATTAATTATTTATATAGTATTTTATTATAATTATAATAAACATTAACAATTTCTCTACTTATAATAATAATAAAATATAGGTATAGGTACTTAAGTATTTATTTGTTGATGATACTTTGTAGTTATTGTATATTGTTAAACATTAAAAAATTATTCTAAAAATGTATTTGAATTTCCGCCTTTTAAAAACTACTGCCCTCTTTCCCGGCAGATGGCGCCACATCTATACAGCTGATTATAGATTATCCCTGTGATGTTTTGCTTGTCATCAGTCAAAACAATAACAAGGTTATCGAAAAATATCCCTGGAAGGAAGTTGTTTGCGGTGAGTGGAGTGTGCGATATAAAGTCGTCAAACCTGGAAAACTGCCAATTTCACACCAGCCGTTTGCAGTTCTGCTTTGGCAAAATGAACGAGGCTTCGGCTTTTAAAGTGGCCAAACAGCTGGCGCCATCTTTGAAGGACGACAACAGGCATAAAGGCCAGAGCGGGCGCATTGGGGTTTTTGGCGGGAGTTTGATTTTTACAGGTAACGATTAAGTTTTACTGTATTTTAATAAAAAAATGAATGTAACAATATTTAAAAATTAAATTAGGTAGGTACTAGAACATTTTCACAAAAGGAATGTTAAAACTCTAAAGAGTAAACACTTTTATGAGGCTAGTGATTGGCCGATTTCATTATTCACTGTGATTTGAACCAATCATAAAATTCGAAATCTGTCAGATATTATACGCTTAACAAATAAAACTGTTTCTTAAACACAAAAAGGTGCTCCATACTACGCAGCAATCAGTTCTCTAAGAGTAGGTGCAGATTTGGTGTACGTTTTTTGCCCGAAAGATGCCGCCACTGTCATTAAAACCTACAGTCCAGAGTTAATGGTGATGCCAGTTTTGGATCAGGAGGATGGGGTGAAACAGATTGAACCCTGGATTGACAGACTGCATGTCGTATTGATTGGCCCCGGTAAATAATACAGCGTGTTATCTAATTAATGTAATATATTAAAACTTTTTTATTTTATCCTACCAAAAAGTACGCCACTGATCGAGTAGGAACTTTAGGGTTAATCTGGTTGCCTAATTTAATTTATTATGTTATGGTTGGTAACAAAAGCGTTTCCAGATTCTGTCAAAAAAGTTGCAAATTTTGTTTAAATCTAGCTTAATTACAAAAATGGCGATTTTGGCGTTTTTATTAATTGTTTATTATGTCATTAATGAAGGTAAATTCAAATAAAATCTGACTTTATCTAGAGCATTTCTTTCAAATTTTAGGTTATGGGCCCAGATTGTAAATATCTTAACTAAGGAATTTATTTACACAAATTAACTTTTATGATATTTCTTTCATATTTTTTCTTTATACCTTATGTCAAAAGTATTTTAATATATTACATTAATTACATACAATTAATACAGTATATCCACAATTTTGTTTTTTGAGCTTTTTGATAAAGACTCTTTTTTAAGGTTTGGGTAGAGAGGATTCGACATTTGAGGTAATGGAAAAAATCATAAATATATGTCGCCAAAAAAACAAACCTTTAGTGATAGATGCTGACGGCCTTTTTTTGATAGCAACGAAAAGACAAATTTTAAAAAACTACCCTGCACCTGTCATTCTAACACCAAATGTGATGGAATTTAAAAGACTCATGGGTAAAAAATAATTTTATAAATGTTTTGCGATGAATAAAAATAAATTGAATTCGTAGGTTTGCAAACTATGGAAAATAATGCAAGTTGCAGTAGACTTGAGCAGGCGGAAAAGTTTTTAAAGGAAATTGGTGGTAATGTTACTATTTTGTGTAAGGATAAGGAAGACGAGATTTTAAGCCATGGTCAATCCTTAAAAGTTAAAGGTAATTCATCATATTTTTATATTTTAAAGCCTGATTTATAGATTGCCTTCCTTCCTCCCGTAGAAAATGAACAATACAAAAACCGTTGTGCTGTTTAAAGATTCCCATACGGGAATCTATAAATGGCACTACAATTTTCGTATTGTTCATCTTTTACGGGAGAAATGAAGAAAGGCAATCTATAAATCAGGCTTAAATGTCCAAATTATTTTGACATCCTTAGGTGGAGGGTCAGGGAGACGTTGCGGAGGTCAGGGCGACCTTCTTTCAGGCGCAGCTGCCACATTTCTCGGCTGGTCAATGGACAAGTCACCTGGCAACGATGTAGAAGATTTGAGAGGCGCTGTTGCCAGCTTCGCGGCCGCGAAGCTAACGAGAACTTGCAACGAAAAAGCTTTTGCGAAACACGGAAGAAGTATGATTTGTTCCGACATGATTTTAGAGATACACGAAGCTTTCGATGAAACTTTCGAATTGAGAAGCCAAACGGTTATTTTTTAGATACCTAATTTTATTTTTGTTATGTTTTGAATAAAATGTATGTATTTATGGGTTATTTTGTTATTGTTAGAGTCTAAATCAATTTTTAAATGATCTGGACCAAACATCACCTATGTTTAAGGCTATTCCGTTTCTCATATGTTGAAAGTCTTAACCTTGAATCTTTCTGAATAGCGATAAATGTTTCTAGGACAGATAGTATCTTAGTTTTATAACCTAAAAGTCGCAGATCGTAAACTAAAATTGTGTTGGATAATTATTTTAAAAATAATTGGTGATATTTAATATATTAAATGAACTTAAAAAAACAATCAAATTCTAAAAATACTTGTGAAAAACGTTTTATGCTGAACTAGCCAAAGCCAAAAATGTTTTTTTGAAACCAGTTTTCAATTTATTTTTTTCTTTTTTGTGTCTTTAGTCTTATTGACTTTTAGAGGACAAAGTAAAAGGTTTAAGTAAAAATGCAATATTTCTTGTAAATTTTTCATTATAAGTACAAAAATTTTGTATAATTTCGAATATAATAATTAAAAACTCTAACAATATGGCAACATGTCATTTAATCTATCTACATATAAATGAATAAAATTTATCACAGTTTTAAAAACTAATTTTTATAGAATTCTACACGATTTTTTAATATTGATATGTTCAAATTAGGGCAAGATATCTCAATTATTAAAAAATAAAAAATACTAAAAAACTTTGGTTTAAAATTTGGAATGCCAAACATAATACATGTAGGTAAGTACATTTTGCTTAAAAGAGCACCATTAAATTAATATAAATTAAATGTGACAGAAAACTGTCAAAATCGTAAATCCATTGACCATAGAATGTCAAAAATTATAATTATTGCTTGATTTCATCAATTTTTTTATTTTATTATTTAACTCCTATATTCTCCCAGTCCGCAATCATTGTCAAGTTGACATTCTCAAAACGCCATTTTTGCGTTTTTGAATTTTCATCACACGTTGTGACGTACAACCTTTTTTTACCCGGGTCACAATCCAAGCAACGCGGGTTGCCGCCATGCACAAACCATTGCTTTTCCTAAAATATTTTTTTTACATTGTTTTATTCACGTTATACTCTGGTTCTGCTCACCACATTGTATTTCCAATACTGGTTACCTTGGCTACCATGACAGGGGTATAATGTGACGTCAGCTTTATCATTGGGATCAGAAACGTCAAAACATAAAGTTTTGCCCCTGACCCTCAAATCTTTGTGCCACGTTAGGGTGAAATTTTGGTCGGCTTTTTTACCGGTACCCTTTGCGCACTCCTGAATTCCAACCACTCCGTCCCTGTCTTTGCGCATGGAGTCCACGCACAGCTCTGGGGCACCTAAATTACGAATCTAAAGAAGATTTTTGAAAAAAAATTTTTTGCCGTGTTGCAAAAGTTACCTCTCCCGTACCGAAATCACCCGGCTCTATAGGAGGATATTTCAACGGCAAATCAAAAGCTATGGTTTTCATGAACCAACTGAACGGTTTACAGTTTAGTGACTTTCTTAGGGCTTTTTGTTTTGAAATGTCACCAGTGTCGAGGTTTTTGTAATGGGGACGTCTATTGTATAAGTATTGAGCGTATTCGTCCATCCACACCTCTGCCACCCGTCGGTAGTTCTAAGTAATAAAAAGTTCACTAAATTCGTTTTTACTGTACAGTTGCGGAAAATAGCAATGTCCATTTGAATTACTATTTTCCGTAACTGTACTTTGCAAATTGTATTTACCCTTCCGACGAAATCTCCCTTTCCAGGATTAGGGAATGGAGCATACTTTCTATAAATATGTCCCACCCTAGAACACGGGGCATCGTACATCTGACCCCCGCACTGCCAAATTTTAAAACTCAACTCATATTGCTCTCCCCCCCAAATGTCCAAACCCTCATCATAACCTCCAAGTTCCCAAAAAAATTTGGTACTTATGGCGAAAAGACCTCCCGCCATAATGGGAGATCTAAAATTTGTTTATGAGAATAAAACCTTAGACCATAGAATGGTGGGATGTACTTACTTAAAAGGTTCGGTGGGGTGTTTGAGATCTTCAGGAAGCAGGGGGAGTCTTTTGTAATAAAACTCCCAATCGAAGGCCCCCCTTGCCCCCTCATCTTGCGACCGATATTCAAATGTTTCGTACTGCACGACATCTATGAAGGGACACACGCAGGTCCTGTAGTCTTGCGCAATAGGTTCTACGGAGAAAATAATAAAAAAAATGTCTCTATCTTCACTCTGTTATGTCTAAGGTAAACCATAGACTAAATAATGGGTGGATGGAGCATTTTTTACCTAGTAGCGGTGGTAGCCAGTTTACGTTTGCTTCGGTGTGCGAGTCCAGAAAAATTAGGACTTCGGCTGTGGCCTCGCGCGCACCGGCAAGTCTAGCTCTGATAAGTCCACTTCTTTCCGGCAAATGGATGGCCCGGACTTTGGTTAGGTTTGCTGCTAGGTAGTCGTCCAGGGGTTTTCTACTAAAGTCTAAAAAAAAGTTTACATTTTTGAAATACCAAATACTAAATTAAACTGGCATAAGCTACCAACTTAATAAAAAAACTGCCCTTACAATTAAAAATTTTTAAAATTACTGAAATATTTTCAAATTTATTAAATTTTCCAAAATGTTTGGTTTTTTCTAGTTACATTTTTTTTAGTTACGCCAAAAAGAACTGTAAGTACAGAATCAAACAATAGTTCAAAATTAAAAAAAAAGTGAAAAAAATTCGCACATAAGTATACATTTTATAAATGGTGGGAAAAATACATAAATTTAACAAAATTCGCACAGTGACAAAAATTTAAAAAAAGGTTGAAGAAAACGCACAGTGGGATAAATTTAAAAATGGTAGGACAAATTCGAATTTTAAAAAATTATGAAATATTCAAAAAATTTCAATATTTTTAAACTTACAAAATTTTCAAAATTGTTGATTTTTCTACATTCTTTTTTTTTAAGTTACGCCAAAAAATAGTATACGTACAGAATCAAACAGTGGTTAAAAATTAAAAAATAGTGGAGAAAAATTGCACAGTGGGATAAATTTAAAACCGTTTAAAACTATCAGGACAATTAGGACAATTTCGCCCAGTGGGGTAAATTTAAAAAAGTAGGACAAATTCGCACAGTGGGGTAAATTTAAAAATGGTAGGACAAAATCGCACAGTGAGATAAATTTAAAATTAAAAAAAAAATCAATATTTTTAATTTTTTCCGTCAAATAAATTTTACTTACCTTTTGTGCTACAATCATCAACTAAAATAACTTCTTTAAGCAAATGAGAAGGGGATCTATTCACAACACTGGTAGCTGTCCTAAGCAATGTAGTCCAATGTTCGTTATGAAATGGAACAATCACACTGACCGTTGGCAGTTTTTTCAGATATTTTTTACTTTTACATCTAAAAAAATACACACTTTATAAATTAAATAGGTTTTTTTCTATTTTTACCCTTCGTGTCTTATATCCGGTACGGCCCTGTCCAATGCTATTTTGTCGCTCAGGGCCGCATTAAAACCATTTACTTTGTAAAGTTTGTCGTAATTTTTTTGCTCGTTTGTGTTTAAATATGCAGGTCTGCCCTGCTCGCCAGGTCCTAAAATATTTATTGTTTTATATTCCACTTTTCAAATTATTTTTTTAATAGTAAATCATCTTAAAATTAAATGCCAATTGACTCCCCCATATGTTTATTTAAGTGAAATATATGTTAATAAGCATAATCTTTTAACAATTGAAATACAATTAAGCATGTAAACAACCAAGTATTAACACTGCAAATTAAATAACTTATCTAATAAAGAAAACAGAAATTTATAACTGTACCAGTAGAATTTTTTTATTGTAAAATAGATTATAAATAATGCAACAATTAAAAAGTTATGTTACACTTACAGATTCTAGGAATTTATGTTAAAATACCTACAAATACATTTTGCGTAATTTCAGTAAAGTTTAATTAATGAAATAATTAAGTAAAGGTAACCTTAATAAATAATTTTGCTTACCTGTTCTAGCTTTATCCTTATTTATATATTTATAGTTATGCCAGTCAATTTTCTCATTTAAAGCTATAAGTTGCTAAAAATATAATTTTTTTGATGAACAAGTATAGAAGTATATAACTTAATAAAAAACCTTCTAAATAAAAAAAAATAAACTGTACTTAATAATTTACTAATTATTAATTACACCCCGTATAAAGTAAGCATTTTTGGACAGAATTTTTTAAAAGTTGTCTCACGTTCTTGTACTTTGACAAAGCATTTTAGTTACACCCTGTAGAACCGTTAGATTTATATTGCTTAAACTGACACTTATAGCTATAGCTATAGACAGTTTTATATAAATTAAGTCTACATTTTTCTGAAACAATACAATAGTATATGTGTTTTAATATTTTTATTTAATTAAACCCTCTTTTCTCAAAAAATTTAAACAATTTAACAATTTAGTTACAGCGATTTTACTATACAGATAAATAATTATAACTTACATTAGGTTCTTCCACCGGAAACACCCCAGCATCTCTATTAACAATATCTTTAACCTTATCAACAACATTTAACCGGTTATTAGTCAAAATCCTGAACAATACCACCGTAAAAACCACGGTTACTCCAGACAACACCAAAAACTTCAATATATGCTTGATATTTCTTCTCATTTTCGTGCTACACTGGGTCACATATTAATTCTCTTATCATTTTACCAAAAAATCCCGATAAAACTCAACTTATCGCTACAATTCACTACGTAAACAAATGTAAATGACAAGCGACATAACCTCACACTTTTCCGTCTGTCAACCCGCTCACCTCGATTGCCGCGGTGAAAAAAAGTCAACGCTCACTTGTGCTTTGTGTGTGGCACAGGAGCGTACTTAGGTGGGATTGTTTCGCAATTTTGTTCTATAGGGTGGACGAAAAATAGGTGTGCAAAGATTTCTTGGCATAAATTAAGTGTATTTAACCGTTTTATCCATTAGACACTATATATAATATATACGATTGTATAGGGTGAAATTGAAAATGGTTTTATTTATAAATATATGCATATATTTGGGCATATTTTATAAAATTTACACCCTGTATTATAATTGTTTAGATGTTACTTAACCCATTTAGGTAATTAGGTGGAATAAATAAATTACACTGAATTAACAAATGTTTAAAATTATACAATCTTTGCAATCTTTATTTATTTATTAATTAATATTTTACGCAAATTAAAAATAAAAGTAAAAATGTTTTTCAACAAATAAAATTTGTTTGGTATTATTTTGACCTTTTTACTGCAGCTATTGTTCTTTCTCAATATTCAAGAGAAATCTTTTGTTCTTTAAATCTTTAGATGAATTTGTAAGTATTGGTAAGGTAACCTTGCATGCATTTTGTATTCAGATATTTTACAATTTCCTTGCAACGTGATTGCGATTTCGATTTGCATTTTATCTTTTTTATTGCGTTTTCTACCGTTATATTGGTAGTTTTTACCGCGAGAATGGGCAGAGACGGACTAACATCAACATTAGATTTTCAAATGCCTTATGTCCTTAAATACCCAAGTTAATTTAAATTTAAATGAGAAAAAAAAATCGCAGTGGAATAAATTTAAAAATATAGTGGAAAAAAATCGCACAGTGGGATAAATTTAAAAAGGGTAGAAAAAATTCGCACAGTGGGACAAATCTAAAAAACGGCACAATGTTTTCAAAATTAAAAAAAAATCGTTTTGAATACTTACATTTTTTAAGTTAAGTACGCCAAAAAGTACTAGAAGTACAGAATCAGCCCAATGTCCAAGAAAAATACCTGAGATGGATTATAAAATCGACAATATCAATATTTGTAATTTTTTCCGTAAAATACATTTACATTTTACATTAAAAAACGTGGAACGATTTGTTGTATTGTTGGGTGTCTTTCGAGAGAAAATCATATAGGTTAAGTTTTTACCGGTTTTTCAATATAGGTACAGTGGAAATCCGAATGAATAAATAAAAGGCATACAGTCACTGTAAATATAAATTGTACATATTAGATACAATAAATACATATTTTAGTGATGATTAAGTGATTTAAAAAATGTTTTAGAATTTTTATGAATTTTTTGTATTCCTTGTATTCTAATCCATTTAACATATTTTAATAGAATTAAAAATTAAAAATAAAGTATATATATATATGTATATAAAGAATGCTACCGGTATCAAACTATTTTTTTGCAACAAAAAACCACGTCAATGTCTTTTGGTCCCTTCATTTAGTTTTCTTGTCAATTTATCTGCATGTCATGTCTATTTTGACTATAATCCCAGAAATTTACTGTTTAAATGTTGTGGTTTCTTTGGACCTGATTTAAACATGTGCGGTTAGGCAACCAACCCTAAAAATTGTTCACCGAATCAAAAGCAGAAAATCAAGTCAACAACATGAGTTCCAAATTCAACGTCAATCGGAGACTTTTAGCCATCCAAGCCAAGACAAAACGTTACAAAAAGCAACAAAACCGCGACAAAGAGCACACTCAACACAAGAGGTACGACAGTGTCGGCAATAAGGACAAGAACGTACCTTACGAGAGCTCCAGCGAGTCTTCTTACTCCGATGAGGAGTGCAGTGACACTGAAACCGAAGACGAAGGTTAGTTTCTAAATATCAATATCAATATATCCGATCTACATTTCCTTGTGCGCTCATCTTATACCTTCAATCATACAGAAACCCACCCCAGCAATATTTTTAACAAATTTTCTTTTCATTTCATCATCATTTCTTCATCCAAGATGGCGAGCAGGAGGAAAGCAATATCAATATCAATATATCTGATATACATTTCCTTGTGCGCCCATCCTACACCTTCAATCATACAAAACCCAACCACAGCAACATTTTTAACAAATTTTCATCTTTTCATTTCTTCACCAAGATGGCGAGCAGGAGGAAAGCACGGACTACTGCGTCGGCGGCTATCACCCCGTAAAAATCGGCGATGTTTTCCTCAATCGTTACCACGTCACCAGAAAACTGGGCTGGGGTCATTTCTCCACGGTGTGGTTGACGTGGGACTTGCTGGAAAAAAAATTTACAGCCCTGAAAATCGTGAAATCCGCCAGCCATTTTGCCGAGGCGGCTGTGGACGAGATAAAAATTCTTAAGGAGGTCAGAGAGACAGATCTGAACGACCCGAAGAGAAATAAGACAGTGCAGTTGTTGAATGATTTTAAGATAAGTGGTGTCAATGGTCTACATATTTGTATGGTGAGGTTATTCTGTATTTAATACTGATTTTTTCATCATTTTCATCATTGTAGATTTTTGAAGTATTGGGGAGCAACTTACTTAAGCTAATAATAAAGTCAAAATATAAGGGCATACCATTGAATAACGTGAAGTGTATAATACGTCAGGTTCTAGAAGGTTTGCAGTATTTACACGATAAATGCCATATAATTCACACTGACATAAAGCCAGAAAATATTCTTCTATGCGTAACTGAAGGTACTTAACAACAACATTATAATACAGAAAGTAATAAACTTATTGTAGAAGCCGTGATGAAGATGGCATGTGAAGCTGCCCAAATGCAGCTGAACACGGGAATGAAGCTGCCAAATTCCCTGGTGAGCGCCGCACCACAGCACGAAGAAAAAATGAGTAAGAACAAGCGAAAGAAATTGAAGAAGAAATATAGAAAGCATATACAGCTGATTCAGTCGGAGCTACAGCACTTACATAGCATTGTTAACTTGAAAAAAACGTCTTGTATTGGTATAAAATAATTTGAATTAATAGAATATCAAAATTACATTTTTTTTGTAGATTTAACAGGTACTTCTGTGTCTTCAGCACCTTTACAAAGCAAAATGGAAACCATAGACCTCACAGGCGACACTGATATGTCTGATGGAGAGTCAAACGCAGCTTCAACATTGTTTTCCGGGAAGGCAGGTGCGGGTGAAGCTTCTGATTTTGTGATGGGCGACCAATCGCAAAATACAGCGGATTTTCAAAGTATTTGTACCAAAATGGCGGCGTCAAACAACGATTTGCTCAACCCAGCTTTGGATGTTTGCAGTGTGGACATTAAAATAGCTGATCTGGGGAATGCGTGCTACGTCAATAGGCATTTTTCGGAGGAGATACAGACGAGGCAGTACAGATCTTTGGAGGTTTTGATGGGGGGTGAATACAATACCACGGCTGATATTTGGAGTACAGCCTGTATGGCTTTTGAGCTAGCAACGGGTGATTACTTATTTGAGCCTCATTCAAGTGAACACTACAGTAGAGATGAAGATCATCTAGCTCACATCATAGAGCTGTTGGGGGAAATCCCGGCTGAAATTGTGAGAAGCGGAAAATTCTCGCACTTGTTCTTCGACTCAAACAACAAATTGAAGCACATCTACGGCATTAAAAGGTGGAGATTGGAGAACGTCCTCCACGAGAAGTATTCGTGGAAAAAATCCGATGCCGTGGAGTTCGCGAGTTTTCTAATCCCGATGTTAAACTTTGATCCCAACAGGAGAGCATCGGCTGCTGAGTGCTTGAAACACCCGTGGTTTCAAACGCCCAATAAATAAGTTCGTGAACAAAAATGTGGGAGTAAATTCTAAATAAAGTTTTATGTTTTATACGAGGGCGGTTTTAATGAAGTTTGGGTCGACTCACCTCCCATTTTTTATTGATAAAGCCAATATTATTATTATTATAACGCACCGTAATTTAATTTGTATTTTCAAAATGATAAAGTAGGTAAAATCAATTAAAAAGAATTTTAATCAATTCTTTCCAGAAACAGAAGGTATTTAAGTTGAATTAATTTATAGTAATTTTTATTTTTTGAATGATTTTTTTATATACCTTAATAAATTTGCCTTGGAGTAAAACATGCAATTATGACATAAAATAACTTTGACTTTGAATAACTTTTTATCGAAAAATGATAGGAGAAATTTTTTGTAGAGCGTTCAATTTCCTACAAAAATATATATCGCAAAAAATTTGTTAATTTCATATTTTATCATAGATTCGAATAATAGCAATTTTTTAAAAATTGATAATCTTTGTACTCACTTTTACCCGTCAGTTCTGTGTCGAATGTTAAAATTCAAAATTCCTGCGAAATATTGAAGTTTAAACGTTAAGTCCTCGTTTTAACTCAAATGTTGGTAAAAAATTACCTACAGTGCCCGCCCTTTGCACGACAGTCATCTTGAAAAAAATGCAAGCGGCAAAGTTGTAGTGAATGCACGTATAGTTCCAGTCAAAATTTCAGTACTTTGTGAGTATACCATAGTATACTATAGTTAATTTCTTATGTATGTATATTTCATTGTAATTTATATAACGCTATATGTGATTTGTTGATAAGTAGCATCCACTAATAAAAAATATCAGTAAAATACTTAATTCCGAATTATAATCTCAAATTTGTATCCCATTCATCAGTACCGTGTCGTCAGTTCCATGTATCTTTTTTTCGCAAACTTCAATTTAAATTCTGCCTGCCCAGAACTTGTTTATTTAATGTCATTATAAACTCATATAAATTTATGTGGGTCCCATATCTTATTTGAGATATCGGTATACCCAAAATCCACCAGCCGCCACTGATGTGTGGTATTATTTGATTATAAGATATTTAATGTATAATATGCTCAAAGTTGCAATAAATCTTATATTTTCCAATAAATTATGTATTTAATTAGAACCCTGGTATATTCGTCACTTCCCTTGCATTCAAATTTAGAAAACACAGATATTTCAGAAACTGTTTGAAAAAGTGACTGGCCCGGTCTGGAACAGTATACTTATTATATTTTCTATGTTCTCGTAACAAAAAACTGTTTAATTTTCTCCGAAAACTATGTAAACAAAATAAGGTCAAAAGTTGCCCAACTTTTGTAGAATCACCCATATATTAGGGTGTTTAAAAAAACAATTATTTTTTTTTCTAATGGTGTTGAAAAATTAATAGTACATTAAAAACAAAAATGTTGGCGCCTATTTAAGCCCTTAATATTAATATTAACGTTGGCCTCAATTCATTTGTTGTTTTCCCATTTCAATAACACGGGAATTTTTATTTTTTGAATTTTGAATTCTTATATCTTTGGAGTGGTTTGTTTTCGCAACACCCAAGCGAGAGGAGTTATAGACAATTTCACGCTCTACAAAAATTATCTGAAGGTCAAAGTTCTTCAGATCAACCGTTTCAAAGATATCAGCGATCAAAAATAACACAAATAAAAAATTTCAAATTTTTCAAATAAAATACAAAAAAATATCATATGCCATATTTATATTATGTTTTATGTAAAATCACTTTAATTCTGTTAACGTAAGACTGTAAACTTTTTTATTCATATGACGAAAATTTAATACGTGAAACCAATGAAATACCTGGAAATGAATAGTATACGCATTTACTATAGAGGTAATATTTACTAAACTAATGTGTCATGCGGTAGGTAGGTACCTTATTAACGAAATTTAAACATTAAATTTTGTTGATTGCGATTTTTGTGGTAAACCTAAAATTAAAAAATCTCTATATATATATAAATCAAAGTTCTACTTTTCACTACATAATTTCGTTTAGTATCACTGTGTGCTATTTGACTTGTCGAGAGTGAATTTGTGCCGGCTATATTTAAAAGTTTCACCGGTCCAGTGTAAGTATTTTTATTTTATTAATGTGTGCTGATTTTATTAAGTAGTTTTGTATGGAACATTTTTATTTGTTTTACATATTTAAAAAGGTTTTAATTTTCTATAAATCTTACCTACAAAATGACCATAAAATGTATAAAATCACCTAAAAATATATTTTATTGAAAAAGTCTAAAATAAAAGCAATTCAAACAAAACTAGCGACATCTATACAAAAAAACAGTAACCTCAAAATGGGAATCTGTATTACCGGCGGCAAATGTCAAATTTTTCTGTGTAAAGTGAAATATATCCCTTGAAAATGGACTAACAGCCGTTTAAATTCGATATAGAAACAGTTTTTCACAGTGAAAGTAAAAATGATACAATAATTTTATTTTAACGATTGCATGATAAATGTCATATTTTGACAACTGTCACTAACTTAAAGCTAACTTCAGTCCGTGACTAAAGCGCCATAAAGCCATATGGCTCTATAGCTAAAGATCACTTACCCAGATAATGGGCGATGAAAAAATAAATTATACACATTCATAGTTATTAGCCTTGAAAATCCTATATTTAACAAAATAAAATCTTTTTTTAGTGAGAACAATCGATCGTGTCTAAATTTATATTTAGGTTATTTGCAAATGACACATGTGCTCCCCCTTAAACAAAATTAAGTAAATAAATCAAGTAAATAGAAGAAAAAAAATTGTAAGTTTCATTTAATTTGTCTAAAAAATGATTTTAATTCGTTAAAAATATGATTTTTTAAGGAAAAACTTTTTGAATGTATTTATTTTTTTTACTTTATTTGATTATTAAAATATACAAGTAAATTTTAAAAAACAATAATTATTTGAAAAAATACAAATTATTTTTACAATATTCGATTTTCTAAGTAAACCTAGGAAGAATTTTTAAAATTTACAAAATTTAAATTATTTTTATAAAACATTTCATTTATGTCATAAATACCATAGATAAAGTTAAACAAATTTGCAAAATAACTAAATTTGTTTTTTAACAAATATTTATTTTATTATAAAAATTAAATAATTAACAAAATTTGTATTTAATAATCTTTTGAAATTTGCCAAATACAATTTTATTTATTATCTCATATTTTTGTATATAAAAAAAGAAAACAATTTTTAAAACTTTCAACCATGTTGACTTAACAGCTAGCTGCAGATACATTGTTTATATTGTTTCCATGACAACCATTTTCTCCTAAGAAAAACCACAGCGATATGTATTATTTGTAGAATTTTAATTAACAAAAGAGTAAAATAAGTAAAACTGGGGATTTTTAAAAAGTTGCCTAAAAATTAATCCCAAAATTTCGTTGAAGGTACACAGAAATATACCTCCACAAACTATTTAAAATACCTCTCCAAAATGACCTTAAATCCATTATTTTCGTTTATTCCTCAGTAAATACAAGTGTGATTTTTGATTGTCATTTGAAGTTTGTCAATTTTTTATTGGGTTTTGAAAATTACAATGAGTATGCATTACATTGGTAGGGCAGGGGTAAAATCAACCTGTGTTTAAAAAGGTAATGTCTACTACTAGTACTACCAATTTCTTAAATCCAAACCCATTATTATTTACCCATAATTTACCAGTCGAATTTAACGTAGGTATGCACATCCACCATAATTAATCAAAATTACATCCTAATACCATACCGAAAACATCTAATTACGAACAATAAAAATAACAGCATTGTTAAACATGTGGCAAATTTCATTACCTACAATTACTCAAAACCAACAAATTTATTTTATATGATTTGTTTTAGGGCGATTACTTGGGGCATAATGTTAGCCTTTTCTTTTCTCGTAACCCTGGTCACGTTGCTAATTTTGGAAATTCAAGGTGCTAGCAAGTTCAAAAATGAAGATAGCTTGGTGTTAGTGCATGTGGTAAGTACCTACTCTACTACTAGTACTCATACTTCATCAAGAAATATTTTTTCAGCTTTTCAGACATGGCAATAGAACAGCTCATGGAAAATCGGAATTGTACCCAAAAGATCCTTACTACAACAAAACTTATTTCCCCATTGGTTTAGGGCAACTGACTAGAGTAAGAATTTGAGTGTTGGGTGGACCAATACAACAAGACTTAAATTTTTGTTTTAGGCTGGAAAATTAAAAGAATACAGTATAGGCACCCAACTTAGAAAACGCTACAACGACTTTTTGGGCCAAGAAATCTACCCACAACTGGTGGACGCCAGATCTACCGAATACAACAGAACAAAAGCTTCGCTGCTTCTATGCCTAGCCGGGCTTTTTCCACCAACTACTATGGATTTATTTGAGAACTCTTTAAGTTTGCAAGCCATACCAACGAACTATTGGCCGATAAACAGTGACCCTGTAAGTGAAACTTCAAAACATATGTTATCACCTTTGTAACGTTAAACTTGTAGGAGCTAGCAGGCTATAGATGCCCAAATTATATTAAAATGTACGACGATAATAAGTATAAACCAAACAACCAAAAACTTTACGACGACCACCGTGATATTTTCCAGTACATATCGGATAACTCTGGCCTTAACATCACCAGTTTTGAACAGATATACCATCTATATTTTGGAATTTCCACAGAGGTAAGTTACCTACTAAATTTTGACCTCCCTATCATCTAACGCATTTCCTTTAGATAGAATTCGGTTTGGACCAGCCCCAATGGATCAAAAACATCTGGCCACATCCCATCGTGGACCTCAGTGTTAAGCAGTACTACGTCGCGACAGATACAGTGGACATGAAAAGGATTCTGACAGGACATCTGCTGAAAAAAATCGTTGACGACTCGATGGTTAAAATTAATGAAGATCCCGATGAAGAGTTTAAAACGAAGATGTATCTGTACTCTGGACATGAGGATAATATAGCCAATTTCCTTATAACACTGAATGTTTTTGATGATAAGATCCCGAACTATGGGTCGTATGTTTTGGTGGAATTGCATAAAATAGACAATGAATTCGGTTTGAAGGTAATTTACATGATAAGGCTTAAAATAGTAGATAACATTCTACCAATTATTTTTGTTTTTTTAGTTTTTCTATCATAACTACGAAACTGGCAACCCTGTTGCTCTGAACTTGCCATCATGTGGAGGATTCTGCACCTTGAAAAACTTTATTTCCCTTTACAAAGTGTATTTTCCTTTGGAAAACTCCTGTAGAAACAGCACAAAATAAATAAATTTCATTACATACTAATTATGTTTTTTTATCGGTAATTTTATTTTTTTCCATTTTCCTGTCAATTATGCCTAAGTAATGTTTAAAATGCAAGGATAATATGATAAAAAAAATTATTTACGCGTTTTACAACAAATATTTGGTGTGTAACAGCCAATAATTTCGCATTAAGGTGAAAAAACAATGTTGCACATCGCACTTGCTTCACTGCTTTTAGTTTGTGGGACTAATGGATATCCTTCACCCCCAAATGGTGACACAAAAACATTGGTTATGCTACATGTGGTAAGTTTTAGTGGTGGAAAGAGCATCAAGTTGTTATTGATACAATAGAGGTACACGTAAGTCTAGACTACTAGTCTTTCTTGTTTTAGTTGTTTAGACATGGCAATAGAACTGCAGAAACAAGTGAGCTATACCCCAACGATCCCTACCTAAACAGAACCTATTTTCCTATAGGATTAGGCCAGCTAACAAACGTAAGAAGACCCCATTAACATTTCCAAATTTCGACAGTAAACTTCATCTTTCAGGCTGGTAAAGCTAAGGAGTTTAGCATCGGTAAAGCTTTAAGAGAGAGGTACAATGCATTTTTGGGTCCTTATGTCTACCCTGGGTTGGTCGATGCTAGATCCACTGATTACAATAGAACCAAAGCTTCACTACTTTATTGTTTGGCTGGCCTTTTTCCGCCTAGAGGTGAACAGATATGGGGGATGTTAAATTGGCAAGCCGTTCCTTATAACTTTTGGCCAAGGGATAATGATGAAGTGATATATATTCTATAATAAATACATAATAAAATTAATAATACATTTAAGGTTTTATTGGGTGTTAATTGTCCTAAATACGTCTTAGACTACAATAAGCAAACTACATCTCCAAAACAACAACTGGAGTTTTCTAAAGATAAAGGTATCATGGATTATGTCAGCAAATATTCTGGTTTGAATGTTACAAGCTATGAAGATATATACGGCTTATATTTTGCTGTATCCACAGAGGATGAGTTAGGTCTAAAACTGCCCGATTGGTTACTAAAGGTCTGGCCTCGAAACATCACAGACGTTGCTATAAAAGAGTATTACGTAGCTACAGCCACTACAGAGCTAAAGCAGATGGCGGCTGGTTATTTGTTGCAGAAAATGATAAATGATACCAAAACTAAAATAAATGAAGACCCTAATACCCAGTTCAAGAAAAAGGTTTATCTGTATTCAGCTCATGAGAGCAACGTGGCACATTTCTTGATAACTCTGGATATTTTTAAACCTCACATACCAACCTATGGCTCTTACGTTACTTTGGAGGTGCATAAAATCAATGGGGTACACGGAATTAAAGTAAGTATATTTATTGAAAGCCTTAATTATCATCTATGATTTGTTTTTAGATATATTACCAAAACTATAGCACCAATAAGCCGCAACTAATGAAGCTACCAGCATGCGAATATTTTTGTCCCTTGGACCAATTTACTGAACTTTATTCAGAATATTTTCCCACTAAGGGTTTATGTGGTAAAACAGCTTGTTAAGTTAATAAGTAAATAAACAAATATGACAATCATGGTTTATATTGCTTATTTAATATTGAATACAAACACCCAATTAATTCTCGTTACAAACAGATACCGAATAAATTAGTTTAACGTAGCCAAATAAAACAGTAAATTAATCAAAGCAACAGGGCATGTCTCGACTAGGTAGGTCCCAACTTTTAGGTCGAAATTTATAGGTTATAGTCTTAATTAGAAGTACGGGGACTCCGGAACCCTCTCCGGACACACATAAGGCAGGTAAATCTCCAAGGGCCAATGAAACGGGTCGCCAGAGGGATATTTTACCGGCCAGATTTAAGTTTTATGCTTGTTATGCCACGAAGTTTGCTAATGATTTACCTAATTGTGTAAATATCGTTTTATGGTTAATAAAATTGATAATAAACCCATTAGGCTTCTGTTTCGCTTATATTTATCATAATAAAAGCAAATAAAGGGTTTACTTTGACAACTTTATGACAAAAGTAGAATGCAGTTCAAAACACTTTTAAACACAACTAGTGTTAAACATGCAATATATTGGCTCAATTTAAAAATGCAAATTAGGCTATTCCGCTAAAGCAACATCACAAATGCTGTGCACAACTGCGTTGCATTGCCAAGCACCAATTTTATGAAGTATTAACAGTTTTAGCAGCTAGAAATTAAATGAAACTGGGTGGAAACCTGGCCGGGATAAGAGTGTGTGTGTTGAAATATCAAGTTTATTAAGCTATTTTGAACTGCGAAGAAAAGTCCAACAAAATCGATTTAAAATTATCAATCTGTCATTTTGTGGATTACGTTGACAGATAAAAATATCTAAAGAAAGAACTGGCTTCAGTGATTCTATTGCGCCACGCTACCCTACATTTTTATGATAAAACCGGCCGGAAAAATGTTTTGTACGTGATTTTAGCTAGACGCTGCGAAGTTATAATACCACTTTCGAACTATTTTATTATTACAAAGCACGCGTTTACCCCTATTACTTACACTCGAGTCTTCTAACCATAGCAAGCAAAAGATGTATGCATCTATGCTGCCGTATCAGTTTACCTAACGATATTAAATTCTGAATTCGCAACTTTTAAAAAAGTTATTTTCATCGCGCGCGCCTTAATATCAATTTTCACTTACGGAAGAGGTCGTATTTAAATTACTGGCATTTTTACCCTCGTTAAAGCAATAAATAACCGCATCTGTGCATATAAGCAAAATTAAATTTTACAGAGAATACTAAATTTAGCTATTTTGCTATAACATTGTAACTAAAAATTAAATCAAATCAAAAATAAATTGATTACCATAGTAATATATATTACAATATTTATTTTTACTAGTGGTGAATTGCTATACTTGGATGTACAATTTATCATACTTGTCTTAAATGCTATACGTAAAATATTGATTTTATAGTATGACACGACGCAGTAGTCACTTTCTGCGTGGCTGTAGTCACTTCCTTATAATAACCATACATTTTAAAACCTAACCTCAACAAACATAACCCCTAATTCTCATCATATTACCTTCTTTGTGTCTGATTTTAAACAAAAACACGGGTAAGCATAGTATAACACAAGAATATAGTTTATAAGCAGTATTATTATAGATATGAACATAGAAATAACGATAATCAAAGAAGCTTTAACAAGGAATATACAAATAAAGTCGAAAAAACCGCCTGAACAAGAAAGCGAGAACGTATTAAAAAAACTAGAGGATTTTATGGTGAATATCGATGTTTTACACCTAACTTCTCTCACTTTATCGCATTGCAACTTAAAAACATTACCTGAAAGTTTGGGAGTGTTACGATTAAATAAGTTAAATATATCGAATAATTTGATACAAAATGTACCCTCGTGTTTGTATTTGGGTTTAAAACACTTACAAGACTTGGATTTATCACACAACAAGATAGAAGAGTTTGTTACTGAGTTGGAATGTGTGGCACAATTGAAAAAACTTAACCTACAAAATAACAAACTTAAAAATTTACCGAAGTGGATTTTGAACTTTAAGTGTATAAATTTGGAGGTGTTGAACTATTCTAACAATAGTGCAAAGAATTATGACTGCCTTAAGAGTTCGTATTTTAAAAGTATAATGCAGGTAAAAAAATTAATACTACAAAATTCATGTCTCCTAGATGAGGACTATATTTTCCTAAAGTGTTTTAAAATGTTAGAATTTTTAGATGTTAGTAATGATGGGATTAAATTGAGGAATTGTTTTAAGGATTTGGATGGTTTATTTGTTAAACCAAAGTGGGTTAATATTAAGGTTTTAGTTTTGAATAATTTATCTCTTAGTGTTTTTCCTGAGGGTTTGTTGTGGTTGGAATCGTTAAAAGAGTTGTATTTGAGAAATAATTATTTGTATTTTATACCTGATTCGATAGAATACTTGGTTAACTTGGAAATATTGGATTTATCTTGTAATGAAATTTCGGGGTTGAATGACAAATTGTTAACTTTATTTTCGTTGAAAAAACTTTACTTAGGTAGTAATTATTTGAGTAGATTTAACATGGTGCAAAATAGTTTGGAATGTTTGGATTTGTATGATAATTTCATAGAAGATTTTACTTGCGATATAGAAAATATTACAGGGCTGGATTTAGACCAAAATTACTTTGATGTATCTCCACTAAAAGATTTTAACTACGAAAAAAAGCGCGAAAGTATTCGTGAAACTGTTAAAGATGGCGATCTTAGATTATCTGGGCTTAAGTACCAACATATACCACCAGAAAGCTCATCTTATTCATCAGAATCATCATGTGAAGATGAAAGAATAGAAAATGAAAATATAGAAAATTTCAGCCCCCAAGACATTGAAGAAAACTGGGATGAACCCATTTTCACAACCCAAAAACCCCAGAAAAACCATCTGGTAACCGCGTCAGATGACGAATGGGAGGGTTTTAAGTCCAAAAACAACAAAACTGAGGAGTCCAAATCCAGAGAATATATCGACAATGAAGCCCTGATTTACGAAGATTCCTATAACGATACTTCGCTTGTTTTGTGACGTCATTTTATGTGGGGTTGGTTTGTAGGTTTTTTAGATTGATTTTAATTTTTTTTTGCTTTAAATATAATTACTGCTGTTATATTATTTTATAATTAATTATTGGTAAATTTTATTATGGGGAATTTTCGAGGAAATGCCTAGGTATTAATTTATTATTAGGGTGATTTTAGTAATTTATTAGGTATTATTAGGTAAATATTTTTTAATAAATGTTTTTATTTTTATAATTTTGTTATTTTTATTTAAAAACTTTTATAAAACAAATCTTTTTTTGTAATTTTTTGTACGTTATATTTGTTAATAAAATTTTCGGAAAAAGTGTATTATTTAAGAAATATGGTTTAAAGAAGTAATTTTGTGTCAAAATTCGTAATTTGGCTTTAATGGTGCGTATGAGTAAAATAATAAAAAAGTAGTTAAATATAGGTGACTACGGCTCAGAAGAGACAAAGTATTTCTAGCGGATCTTTGCTTTGAAAAGAATTTATATAAAAGAAATTTTATACACGTGAATGTTGTCCAATCATTGGACTCCAATGGTGAATGGGTATTTTGTAGTCCCTGATAGCAAAATTTGATTTTAAGAATCTTCTAAGAATATATGACCCGGAATAATGGAATATTCTTAGAAGCTTCCCTTATTGCTAAGAATGTTCTTAGGGACTTTTAAAACATTCAATAGATTCCCTTTTAATGATGCAATTAGATTCTTAAAACCTTAAAAAGCATCCCAAGAACATTTTAAGAATACGTTTTTGGAATGCTCTTAGAAGGTTTCTTATGGAGCTTCTAGGAGGCTTTTGAGAATATTCCCAAATATGTTCTAATATGTTGTATTCTACATTCGTAAAATTCTTCAGGAGACGAGACGATTTGTCGTCTCCTTAATAAAATTTGCGACATATTAATATATTTATTAAAAAATATTAAATAAACAATTTGACCTCTAAACCAAAGTTGTATGACATTATTTCATAAAAAGTAAAATTGGAAAATTTTGTGGGATAAGTCAGATTAGATTGAAGTTGAAGATAGTTAGGATTATTATACATAAAAATGTTAATTTAGAAATTAAAAATCGGTATACAAATTAATAAATATTTATTTTTAACATAAAATAAAATACCTATAGTAAAAGTATTTTTGTTATCGAATATTGTTTTAATTTAACAAATAACTATAAAAAAATATTTTTGATTTTTAGTATTTAATACTAATTACTAATTAGGTAGGTACTTAAGTATACCTTTATACGTAGTTTATGGTATATTTTACTATTATATAGGTAACTGAACTAAATATGCAGGAATATTCCTAAATGAACTTTCTATAGCAATTACTTTCTTAACATTCTAAGCATATGTTTAGAGTAGACTAATTGTTACCACTAAAACTTCTAAGAACCTGCCTATAGGCCAGTAAGAATATTCTTAGGATCATGCTATATGTCTTTTAAGCATGTTTTTTAGAAGAAATATAGCATGATCCTAAGAATATTCTCACTGGAAGGTTTAAAAAACATTCAATACTAAATTAAACTGGCATTTATAAGCTACCAACTAAAGTAAAAAATAAACTATAGGTGTAGTATAGTTGGGCATTGTTTTTAAATTCAATTTACAAAGTTATTCAGCGTTAAAAAATTCTTTTCCGGAATATTTAATCGACGAATATTCTTATAAAGTAGGTATGTGTTTCAGGCTTTAAGCCAAGCTCGGGGAGATGATAAATTCTTAGATTTTTTTCGCGAATGTGTATAGAAAAGCTTAGGAAAGATAAATCAATAGGGAAGGTCGTCTCTCGCATGATGATGTATGAATATGACGGCATTTAATAAGCAAATTTTTACATTCTTCTAGGAGGCATGTTTTTGCTCTCTTTCGGGTAAAATTTAATTTTTAAGACCGGTTTTATTCAAAGTTTTATTAGATTTTCTGAAATGAAATTTGGACGTAGGATAGCAATGGCGCTACAAATAATTGAGGTTATCTATC